GACGAAAGCGAACACAAAACAGCTGATATCAATTTTAACAAATCATTTCGGAGCGATTTGGATTTGTTTCTTTTGCATTCTTCCAACTAATTTCAGAATCGCTCCGTAATGATTTGTTAAAATTGATATCAGCTGTTTTGTGTTCGCTTTCGTCACGAGGAATTACTTCGAAAGAAGTTTTTTTAATTTGATTTGTATATTTTAAACAAATGGGATACCATATAATTGTATGCTTAGGTCGATTTCATTTTTTCTTCTAAGGTGGAGGTATTCCAAAGAATTCATTCGACGTAATTTGTATTTCGGAAAAGTGAATGTCTTTCAGATTGAAGAAAACAAGTTCTTGAGAGCTATTTGGTATTCTAGGGGATTCACGCCAAATTTTATTTAGCAAAATCTATTTGTATTATTTAAATCATGTAAAATTCACGCTAGATTTCAAATATTTTGTATTATTTCCCGAATGCGTTGTTATTGTTCATATTCACCTTGAACAATATGTTCTGGAAGTGGGTTTTGGTGGATCCTCAGGATCGTTCAAAACTGCTCCCGGTTCTGGAAGTGGGTTTTGGTGGATCTTCAGGATGGATCAGACTGGGTTTGACAATGCCCTGGTCCATCCTGAGGATCCACTTCCAGAACCAGGAGCGGTTTTGAACAATCCTGAGGATCCCCCAAAACCCACTTCCAGAATTTTTGAAGCGATAATGACGTCAACAGATTAGACATGGTTCTGCTGACAGTCGGTTTATTGAACAAAATTGAGCAAAATTGAAATTATGCATACATATCTGTTTAACATGTTAAAACATAAACAAATTCATATTATTTGTTCATATTTTAAATATGGAAATTGGCGTGAGTCCCCTAGTTGGTATTATTTCACTTCACAGGAAACTATATTTTTTTCGCACTAAAAAAAACCAGACCCCACATTTCTTATAGTGCTGAAAAATATGGATTTGAGGAAATACGAAACAATTTATTTCTCTTACTAGCTTGGTATCACTATTTTAGTTACCCGTGAAATTTTTTATCTTTTATAGTTAAATAAAAAAAAATCAATTCTTCAACTGACTGAATAATAAACGATCTCACGTTTAATAAAGTATGTTTCTGGTGTTTCATTGTTCAGGGAAATTCATTCTTTAGAAATTCAAGTCGGTTGATTAATTTCCCAGTGTAAATCTTAATTAAGAAAGTCACACATTCCATCAATGAGAGCGGATATTTTCCTTATCATGCGATTAAAACCAATCGTATGACAGATCAAATTTGTTGTTGAAAATTAAAAACAGTTTCCTCTCAAAATGAAAAAAAAAAATTCTTCCGACCAAATAATTTATGCACAGTTTCCCTCAAGTAAAAATAGAAACGGAAATAGAATAAAACCACGAAGAATTTGTACATAAATGTGGTTGTTGATCCATGATTTTATAGATGACTGCATGAGATCGGTTGGATTTAACGCAACCCATCATTACTTCTCTATTGGAATTGATATAGCAAAATGTTCCTGTTAATTCAAGGTAAGAAGAAAGAAAACGGAAGTAGACGAATATTTTGTTGAAAAATTCAACAACATCTTCTTTGTGGAAATCAAAAACCTCTTCGTTGTCAAAACAGTTGATTGTCAATCGAAATAGTAAAAACATTTAAAATTGAAAATTGATGCAAAAATATTTAAATTTCCATTAAAATCATATGATCCAAACAAAGTATACATATTTTGTTGAACCAGTTTTATTTTTGAAATTGAAAATCAGTCCAGCAACTCCTTTCGAAATAAATCACCCAACGGATTTTTTCCGAGTTAATGTCTTACGTTTGGTGGAAGAAAATCAGTTGAAATGAATTGAAAAGACAAAGAAAAGAAAACATCTATTGGAATGAGTAGATTAATTTTGTTGATCAAGAAATATAGAAATTTGGTCTTTCTTCAAGAAAAAAAATTATAATTTGGAAATTGTCAAGTTCGAAAGCTAAAAATGTTTTGGGAAATATTTTCAATTCGAATATCATGTTTAGTATGAATTGTTGCAATTTTTCAAATAAAATCGAATTTGTTCAGCCGAAAATTTTTTTATATCACCTAATATAAAAACAAATACACAAAGTCTTTTCAAGAATGTTCAATATATGGATGTATTAAAAAAAATATATATTCATTCGTCTTTAAATTTGGCTGGTGTTTTTTTTTCTTCTTCTTATTCTCGATTTATTTCGAGATTTTTGTTAAACATTTTCCTCTTCTTCGAATGATTGGAGGGAGAAAATTTTGTTATTTTTTTGTATGTTTGTTAAACCACTCGAAACATCATCATATTACACTAAGACTTGTAACAAAAAATAATGAAATAATTTTGTTTTTTTGATAGAAACAGAAAAAGAAAATGGTAAATTTACTACGTGTCATTTACTTAATTCAATTTATTTGCTGATTCAAGTCTCTGCTTTTAATTGAATCAAGGAATTCATTCATTGCAGTTTCCGCTTTTTATTTCTTTTTTCTATTCAACTTAATTTATTATTATATTTGCGCTATTTCATATATCTGTCGATTCGTTATTCTCGATCTATCGTTTCAGTATACACCTCGAAAACAAAAGTATAACAACCAAAAAGAAAACAAAATCTAGACATTATTTATACATATATAAAAAATAATAATAATAATGTGAATATTACAATTGCATGTGTAAATAATTTGTTTTAAAAAAGTAATAATAAAATTTGTATCACGGTTACTTTAATTTGCAACTCTTCCCACGAATATTTTACACCAAAAATCCATCGAATTTCGATAAGCTGTTCTCAAAGGGTCGGGCAATTTAAAACGGGTGGAGGAAAAATAAATCAAAAATACAGGTGGAAATCATTGAGGTGATTTCATAGGTGTTACGTATGTGCTGAAGTTCCGGTAATGTTCATCGAAAAACAATTTCGACACACTCGCACTGCCTTATTCAAGCCGAATTTTGGTAGTGGCGCTTGTGAATTCGAGCATATCCCACAAAATACGCCTCCGCAACATCGGCAATGATGACGTCGTCGAAATGTTGTGAACGTTTGCGAACATGACATGCCTAAAATTTGAAGTGTCAAAAATGCATTTTTATCAATTCAATGGAATCACACAGTTCCTTCAAACACAGTCAATGATGTGATACTCACATTGGGCGGCTTCTTCGTCGGGAATCCAACGCGGTGGCGTTTCAGTGATTTGTTGCTGAGGTTGCGGATCGTTTCGATTGAGTCGACTGTTCGTCGTTAGGATGATCGTTGTCGTGGTTGTCGCCAAAGTGGACGAATTGTCAACGGATCGCGGCGTTTGATTATTATTCATATTTGCGTTGTTATTTACATTTGCCGTAACTCTTGGCACTGATTGTGGACTGTTATCGTTTGGCTCGCCATGATTACCATTCCGTTCCACGCACTGAATTTGATGCGTTGTATTTACAACCAGCGACACGGGCCGTGCATTTGCTTCATCGCCCAAACTTTGGCTGCGTTCAACATTTACGCGGCTGTGTGTAATTCGAATTTCGGTTTCTAGGCTGGCGCTTCGTTCTTGATGATCCGAACCGGGTGGCAATGGGTGGACAATTGATTGTTCAAACACTGAATCGGTTTCTGGGTTTGCTTCTTCAGCCGAGTAAATACTTTGATTCGAGCCACCATCATTTTCATGTATCACGTCATTTTCGCTAGCACGAAATTCAAACAAGTCGCTGGTCGAATCCTTCGATTTGCCACCAATATCAATTTCAATATCTTCCACCGGTGGCGGTGAAACATTCATTAAGAAGACGCTACGTAAAATTTGCCGTAAATCCGATGCGAAATTCGTTTGTAATTGGTCAGCAACGCCGGCAATACACACAAACAGACGATGCAACAGATTTTCTGTGCTCCTGAAATAAAATGTAATGGCACAAGAGTGAGTATAATTCGAAATTAATTCAGAAAAACTTAAAATATTCTTACTTGAATTTCATGCGGCCGGAGCTGTGCCAAATATCTTGTTGATCACCTTCCGAGTAAATACAGGATGTGGATGATATGGAAACTTTTTCTTCGGTATTCCGAGCTGATCGGTGTCTCGATGATCGACGTCGTGAGCCACTAGTGCCACTTTTTGAGCTACTTGAATGGGTGGCATTGGTTTTTGGACATGATTTTCGTTCGTATCGCTCGCGCCGGCTGTGCTGTGAGTGGGAATGGTGTCGTTGGGACGAGTGCATTCTTGAAGGGTGTCGCGGTGGCATTGGAAGACTAACAGACATGTCATCATATTGTTCGGCATGCTCTTGTGTATGGTAGTATGTTGGGGTTGCATAGTTTTGGTAAAGCGTATTTGGATTATAAATTTCAGACGTATTGGTTGCACTACTATCGTTTGCATACACGCCAAATGGACTTTCTATCCTCGGCTGTGATCTCGACGGTATACTATTTGATATCATTACTTCATTCGTCGTCGTCGTTGTCGACGGTGGCGAATCTACTAATTTACTCATTTCTGAGTCGGGTGTATGGTCTAAGCTTGTATTTTCGGCCGTGCCAATACCTGAATCACCACCATTGTGCGCATGTTTCTTTGCGATGCGGCTCATGTCGCTAGCCACTCCTGGAATCGAGTTGATAGTTTGCATGTGAGTCGGTTCCGTAGATACACACACATTGTCCATCATTGATTGTATTGTTGCCATATCTGTCTCACTGTCCATAGTATCCATGGATGTTGAGCCAACCACATACACCGGATCATCACTCTCGACGACAGTCGACAAATTTTTCTGCGTGTATTCATCGTCACTTGAGATAAAGCTATCAGTCAATGGGGTGTCGGTTGTTTGGAGTAAATTGCCAAAATTTGTGTTTGGTATCAAATAGCCAGATGCGCAATCGGTCGATATCCATTCATTTTTGTGATTTGTCGGTGATTCTGGATCGATATTTGATTCAACCAGCAACGATGTGGACGAGGCTTCGGCCGAAAATGGTGCATTTGACCAAACATTCACCCGATGATTTGGTGCAAGCTCATTTTCGTTGATCATTGTGGTACTGATGTTGTTGCTTCGATTTGATGTAAAGCGTCTATCGAAGTCCGATTCACTACCGCTTGGTATTTCTAGAGTACTGTTACTGCCCGTGCTAGTGCTTTGGCTCGTATTGCTACTCGTTCGGCTAACCGTACTTGTAGTGCTTTCGCTGCTCGTGCTACTCGCACTGCTATTACTACCAATAAATTTTTCCTCGTCATCGGAATCATCACAGTTGAAGTTGGTTATCTCGGTTGTTGTTGTCGGCATCGTCGTCGTTGTTGTCGTCGACATTGCATCGGTTACAGCGTTATCATTCGATTTGGTTTCCTTTGTTGATGTGTAAATGTCTTCGTTTGTGCACAACAACTTTTCCAATTGATACAATTCGTTGGCATTCAGTGTTCGGAGTAGATCGCGAATTTTGATTAATAGCGTACGGAATGGGCGGAACATTTCGGATAGTTGATCAGCTGGCATTGACATATTTAACGGACCTTTATAAATAACCAAGCCCGCAACAATAGCTAATCGCGGAATTGAAAACATCAACGCCGGGTCGTAGTAATCGACTTGCTCTTGTTCCAATAAACCGATACGAAGTGCACGCTGCAGCGACTCGGAAAATAGCACACAAATGAGTTCCTGCATTTCATGTTCCTGTTTCGATTTCACCTGAACCATTGCGCTCACATAGAGCAATTCGAATTCGGCAAATAATCGATCGAAAATCTTTAAGCTTTCGCATAGGGTTTCAGTCACGGCATCGTTCAAATCCAAATTTAATGTTAACGAATTCGGTGTCTTATTACGAAGGCATTGCTCGCGTAATAGGTTTCTTACGTGATCCAAAGACTTGGTAACTGCTTTAGCCAGAGGTCGCATTTGTGCACTCTCCGTTTCACGATTCATAATCGATGAGCCAGCGGCCAGGCATTCAGCACCGAACCACAGTTGACCTGCCAAACTCTCTTGTAATACTTCTTCGGGAAATTTTGCGCGAAACGATCGCGGCGCACGATCTTCACCCAACAATTCGTCCATTATAATATTTGTGATTGCTAGTACTTGGTCCTGGGAGTGAAAGAGAGAGAGAGGTACAATGAAAAATAAAGCATTGGTAATGCGCATTTTGAATAAAATCCCGCTTCGCGTGCAAATATTGTTTCAAGTTAGAAGTTGAAGGTTGAAATAAAATGTTGATTTTTTTTTTTACCTGGCCTTGTCTCAGTCTCCCGACCAATCGCGAGCATCTTTCTGGTTCCGCTCTACCATCAAAACTATCTAATTCACTAGCCACGGCAGTTAAGGCTTTGTCCGCATAATAAAATCTGGCCAAAATGGATTTATCATCCGCCTGAAACCAACAACAAAAAACATACAATAAGTATTAAGTCCATCGAAAACAACGGTTTTTTTTTTGCTGTAAATCTGAATATAAATAGTGATATGCAATCAGACGGTACCAATTAACCGCCGTTGTAGTGTGTGTTTTTTTTTGGCAAACATATCGAATTTCTCTTTTACTTTCATTATTTAGCTCGTTAACACGCATCATTGCGACTCATTCAATTTCACTTTCAGGTTTCGTTTCGTATTATTTTTTTTCTTCATATTCATCATACACACTAAAGTGAAATACTTCCGCCACAAACGAGTATTCCTGGTTGTGTATACATCAAGACGATACGATTGCTTATATTGGCGGCGAAGAGATACGGCGCAAATGTGCTCGTGCTCAATGTAAATAGTGTGATTCTCTACTTTCTACACCTTTCTTTCTATCAAACGATCGAATGTGAGACGTGCGGTATGCAAAACGGGGAAATAAAAGCGTTGCTCAAAAAGAACACAAGCATTCTGCAATGCTAACGAGAAAGAAAGAAATAAATAAACACACACACAAAATGATCGCAACGCTACAATTTCTTTCATTAAAAATACAGCGTACACAGCATGTACTACGGTGAACTTCATGTGACATGTTCTTTTTGAACGTAATTGTGCCAGAAATATTGCCGCTTTACACTGACCTTAATATCTTTCAGAGAAACATAAACTCTAACAAAGATTGCCAACAAAACGCCCAAAAATGACAACAACAAAAAATGGGTTAACATTTCTTGGATCATTTTTCCATTTAATTTCATTCGCAATTTTGAAAATTGAGACTCTCGGTGTGTCTGTGTGTGTTTGTAAGTGAGAACAAAGCGAAACAAACAAAGCATTCAAAATCATTGAAACGACGGAAAATGAGATCGGTAAAGCAAAAATAATGGTGTCAACGTGTAAATAAAAAGAAAAAAAAATGCAAACAAACCCCAACGATTGAATCTCAACGGTTATTATTTGTCATAAACGCGACAAGGGTCGTGCCATTAAAATATGCATTTTGAAAACACGTTTCTCTCGTGTTCTTTTTTATCGAACACAAAATAATCAACATGTTTACTATATATATTTGATATTTAGTAGCTATCAAATACGTCAATGTGAATCAGTTTTTTGTCAGTGAATGCTCAACGCTCAACTCTCTTTGTCAGTTTCTGTATGCATTATGTGTTGTTTTCGATTCTTGACATCTTTATTGTTTGACTGTACAACGCTGGCGTATCGAACGAAAAGATGTGGTTGTTGTTTCATTATTATTTCTTTTTTTTTGATATAGTATATTATGATTTGCATTGAGATGTATTTGTGATAGTTCAGATGGCTTAGTGAAATTATCTCCAAAATAAGAGCTTAATTTATTCGGAAATCGTTGTGGGACATTTAGCGGTGACGCGCCGTCATTACTCACACAAACCAATTCCATGAGTGTGGGCTTCATTTTTATAGCATTGGTGTGACGCGAGAAAACTAAACGACCTTGCTTGCAACTACAAAATAAATACAATGGCATCAACGGCGACGACAATAACGACAGTATAAAAACACAGCTCCAATATATCCAATCATGAATAATGCGTATTATGGAAATTCGAAAGATAATGAGATTTTGTGCTCAACGAGAGAATGCGAAACATATCAAGTAAAATGCTTCATATGAAATAGCTGTTTCACTTTTCATAAATGCGTTCCAAGTCGGTCTAAAACAAAAACACACTGAACATGTTCGAAATTGTCTGTTGCATACATTGTGTTTAAAAATAAGAATAGATAAATATTTTGCGTGCGATAAAAGAAAAGATAAATACATTCGTTCTGATATTCGAGTAATTAAGGTGGACAATGGTGGAGGGGGGGGGGGAATTGAATTATTCTACAAAAATTCAAATGCCATAAAGTAATCCTGCGGGATTTCCATACGTTAGGAGAGATTAGAGGAAATAAAATGAATCGTATGTGCACTTCACAGGAAATGCAACTTAATCACTGACAATGATCATTCAAATGATTAATTTGTGTTCAATGGAATTTAAAGCGAAGCCATAAAAACTATCATTACATTCAGCATTTCGCCCATTAGAGCAATGTCATGGAAATGTTTTTGTCATGCGCCAGCTAAATTTCTACCATATCGTATCAACCAATTTCGAAAGCCCCATATCAATCATTCTCGAGGGAATCCTTTGCTTTGAAAACATTCAGCCGGCCTTTGACTTGGCAGTGTTTGAGTTTCTTATCAGCTTAATGTGTGATCATGAATATTGTTTGCCTTATATTTTCTTTGAATTTAAATCTTTCTAGAGGTTTTCTATTGTTGATAAATAGTAAATCATATTCAATTCCATTAAATCCCACTGAAGTAATATACAATTTCAATTAACAACATTCAATGAGATATATTTTATTGTTATACAATATCATTTCCCAATTGTAACGCACAAAAACGTATATTGCACATTCAGACAGTTGCGTTGATCGTATCCAAATGTCATTGTTATGCTTGGAGCATATCGCAACGTAATCGAGTCGTAACGGATTTTTTTTGTTCACAAAATCAATTCGATTGCAATAATTGCTGCACGCCACTCGCATACCACAAATCAAAATCAATTTTCTCTTGAATGCAAAAATCCGAGGAAATGAATGTAAATTTAAGTGAACTCTCGCTCAAAATCTCATCAAGAATGAAACAATTGAATGCATTTTTTTTTTACATCTGTATGCTTTGAAAGAATTCGCTCCGAAAATTAATAGATTCCGTTGATTATTATTTTTTTTCAACAAATTTCCATTGTACGCTTATATCAGAAGGTTGAGCAATTACTTGTTAGCTATTAATCGGTATTTTTGTTTCTTGGTCTTGCTTTTATCTACGTTTCTTGTTCGCTACACTTGTTATTTTAGTTGTTGACACACTCAAATGAGTTTTCAGATCAAAAGTGAAACAGTGGAACATTCTCTAGATGCTATGACATACTCGAATAATAAGACGGCGGCTTCGCTTGCTGAACACAATTCCGAAAAAGAAAAAAATCGGTGTTTACTTGTGAAAATGGAACGAATGCTTAAAGCCGCTGACTCTAAGCGGAAACAACGAATGATGTCGATTTCGCATACAACTGAACACAGTAAAAATAATGAAAAAAAAACTCGAATAGTTTCGTCTGATTTTGTTGTTAATAGAGTTATGGATAGTTGTTTGACGGCAGATTGGCCTGCGAATGGAATGAAAACTTTTCCAAATGATTGCCAGACTGAAAACAAAATTGAAGATAAAAAAAATAACAACGCAAAATACAAAGCCAAAAAAAAACGTGGTATAAAATGAAACAAACCACACTGGATCTGTTTGTTGAGAGCGCTACGTAATACTCATTATTTTGATTGGAAAATGTGTGCGAATTATGCGATTGTGGTTGCGATTGTTACAGGTGTTATATGATGCTTTGGAATTAACTCGCTTTGGCTGAACGTGTTTTTTTTTTCTACTGTGTATTTTCAATTGAGATATTTCGATATCGCCTATTCTCGTTACTGTTCAAAGTCACGACCGTTTTTTTTCTCGCTGCTTTCATTATGAGAATATAACGATTTTATTTATTATACGTGCTTTTGCACAATTTGCCTCCAGAGGTGCTCAGCAATATGAAGCCGTTCCGTCATAATCATCGATGTCGATGTTAGCCAGCGCCGTTGTTGCCATTGTCATCGCCGTACATTGAAATTGATCACCTTTTATTTGAACCCGTGGCGCAAAACACTGCTAAAAATTAAAATCGACGGTCGCATTTGCATCAGAACATCCACGCAGACATGTGATCTATTTTATAGAATTTGGCCGAGTAATTTTGGTTACATTTATATGAAGTGATTCGTGGAAATATTTACAACATTCAAATATAAATATCCGCTGTTATTTGTGACCTATCAAAATGATGTTTTCTGATGGAGTGTGAATGAATGAATTAATTCAACAATCAATTCCGATCCGTGAATTGTAATCGTGAATGATTTTGTCTGTATTCTTCAAATTACCAAATCTATAATTAGTTCCAAAGGAACCGCTGGACTGGAAGACTTCGCTTACAGCTTACTGAATAGCAAACCAGGTAGCAACCGGAATTTGCCGAATTTCAAAATGTATTAACTGATTCATGGTCATAGTATCCACCGATTTTGCAATCAGCCGATTTTCGAATCACAAAATTTCAGCTCAACAAGTGATCTATTCAATTCGATTTTAATTTCGTTAGTTAAATTGAGTTTTAATGCTCGGATAAAAGCAGGAGTATCTAACCCCACACGAAACAGAAACAAAGCACATTCAACCGTAATTCTTCCAATTTTTCCACGCAACGTATTTGCTCAATGTAATGATTCATCATTTCCAAACACACACACACACACAATACAATACCATCATGCATTTTTATTAGTAACATGAGTATTTCTTTTTCGCGTTCATTCGGTGTGTCATTTGTACCACTTCGCTGTTGGATTGGATATTATTATTTCTCTTCGTTTTTTTTTGTGAGTTCATCATCACAATCATTTGATTTGTGTATATTAACAAAAAAAAATTTCTCTCTGTATTCTTGATATAATATCGTCGTTTGATCGTATTTCGGTGCATTGTTTTTTTTTAATCGTGTTTATCGCCAGTCCAGTCATATTTTGATCGTCTGAACTCATGGTGAACATTTTAAAATGGCTTATAAGCGAGTACCCGTTCCATGCCAAACACAAACAAATCTATGTCACATATGTTGAACTCATCGAGTTGTAAGTGTTTTCGCAAACATTGACAGCGGATACGATAAAAATGTTGCCCCGTATGGACACTGACATCACACAGCAACTCTCGCTTATACATATGCACAAAACACATACACATGCACACACGCAGCAAGGCGATGACACAATAGCTTTTCTTTTTACGTTCGAATTGTCGAATGACGTTGTTTTTATGCACGCATTAAAATGAAAACAACAACAAAAAATACTGCTTCAAACATACATTTGACAAGACAATGTCTTGGGCCACTTGAACGACAGAGTAGAACGGTCCGAATATTCCGTACAATGAAAAAAAAAAAACACACAACAAACTCGAATAACGTTGGGAATCAATACTTGATCATGATTGTGTTAACCAATTTTTTTTCACATACTTTTGCTCTTCTTTTAGTTGAATATCATTTTCTTTATTCGCCACACTCGTTCATTCGAAGAAGAAGATAAAAAAAACCGTATGTGTATTGCTAAAAATGTTGTTATAGTTATTTACCTTGGGTTTATTCCACCATTTCCTAAATGTATCCATTTTTTTTTTATGTTACTTTGTATTCTATTTGTTTGACTGCAGTTTTCTTTTCTATTGTCTATTGCTGGACAATGGTTTACTGATTTGTTTCTCAGTCACTGTACAGATTCCAAGTATTAAACTGTTCCACTTTGTTTGTCTCGCCACTTTGCGCTCACTTTTTTCCATTGAAAATTTATCGTCGAATATTCACTTCATATCATTCATATTCGGTTCAATGGCAATGCATTCATCATCATTCCGCATCGAAATTGATGTAGAATTTCCAATAATTTAATCGCGATATTTGGGCACACACACACACTCACTCACACTTCACAAAATAATACCAATGAAAAAAAGTTGCGAAACAACAACAACCGAAAAAAAATATAGAAGTAAAAATTTCCGCTTTTAAAATGATAAAAACCTCGAATTTCTTGCTCGCTGACTTGTTTGCATCATTTCTTGTTTCACTGTTTATCTTTTTGGTCGTCTAAGCGAATCAAACGTGTGTGTACACACATTCAATTGTTGGGTGAAACATTGAGAAAGAGGAAATACACGCACTCAAGTCCAAAATCGATGTCGGATTGATTAATATGTAAATAAATAAACAAAAAGTGGTACGTCTGTTTAAAGGCACGAACAACAATTTTGTATTTTCTTTTTTCTTTGCACGAACACAAATTACAAATATTTAATTCGCTGGAAACTCTTTTGCAATTAAAACGGTGTGAAATGGAAAAGTGTTTAGTTTTTGTTTGCAACTTTTCGGGCGATTGAATATGTTTCTCTCTGTCTTTCTCTCTCTCTCTCTATTTTACTGTATCGTTCGTAGCAGTACAGACACACCGGAATTGACACATAAAAATTTCGATTGTCCGTTCTCTCACACTCTCCAGGCAATAATAATCAGAGAGGGTTCCCACTACAATTGCCGTACAATTTTTTTTTCTTTCTTCTTATTTTCCCGATATTCACTTTAATGCAATCACACAATCGAAATTTGTGTTTCGTCTCTTGCTTCTTTTTAACTAAATATCAAAATAACAAAAAAATAAATTGATTATGCGACTGTAATACTTCTTCTTGTGTTATTTGATTAATACATTTTTATTGACTGCTCGCAACTTGCACAGATTTCACAATGGTTTCTGCACAACTACATCGTGTAATTTTCATTTTTGATGTTTTCGTATTCCATTTTATGCGAGTCAATTGTTTGTGGTGGTGTACTAATGTGTGTACGTACTTCATATTGTCAAAAATGTTAAGTACACGACCGTACTTTGAGTCATGTTTTTTTTTCTTTATGTCTTTCCTTTTTTCTTTTGTTTGTACTAAAATACTCAAGCATACTCTACGATTTTTAGAAAACAATGTTTCGGTTTTCACTTGTTTTTGTTTTGAATTTCAAGAACAACATACGAGAACTGTCAATATCGAGAAAAAATTATTATTCTTTGCTTTGGCTATATGATCCAATAAATGCATTGAAAGTTGAAAAATAACTTAAATGTACTGAATAAATCATTGGCAAATTGTTATATGTTCATTGATATTAGAACTTCCAATGTTATATCCATCTTTTATGTTTTTAGCTAAACAATTGAATTTAAACGGAAACTTTGGTGTTTAGTCCACATTTGAAAAATTAAAATTTGTATTGACTCATAAACTATTTGATGGCTATAATTTCATGGTGGGTTTTGACTGTTTACAGGTTTACACACTATTTCATTTATCCATTCAAACTGGAAAACCAATATGAACATTCTGATATTAAAGTATTCGTCGATGTCTGAAAATCGCGAGCTAAAGTAATTTACGTCAATGGATACGGTTTGCTAAAAATCTCACAGATGGTGTGGTTATTTCCCTTTAGTCTAAATTCGTTAGGCGGCCGAAAGACTTTGAAGAAATATTACCGACAATCGTCATTGTGTTGCACTGTGAGCAACTATTTACAATTTAATCGTAAGGCATGAGCCGATAATGTGTTTGCAAATATTGTGGAAGTATTATCGATGTTTCCTTTATGGCACGTAGCTCTTAATAATATAAAAATTATCTACGATAGTGATTCGCTACTTATAATGCGATTGACGACCGATTTCAACTATTTTTCCATCTGTATGCATACATGCCGACAAAGGGTTATGCTGTTGAATCAATAATGCTTTTATTCCGACCAATTTTCTTTTAATTTTGAAAATATTCTCGTTACCACTTGTTTGGTCTAGTGATGAACACGTTTTTCGCTGTTCCAACTTTTTCTCGCTCTTGAATGATTTCACGTTTAATTTCACTTTGTCTCCATTTATCGATTTATGCAGCAAACAAAGGTTTACTAAATTGATGCACAAGGCGATTTAGTAAAATTTCGCACATAGTTGCCGTAAATAATTGTGACAATGATCATAAATTTTAATGAAGAAATGAAAACATTTGTTCACCATTTTGCAAGCGCCTATTTGTATGTTCGAAATCTCAATACGTTCAAATATAGGATTATGACGCGTTGTTTGTGAGGAACAATTTTGGTTTCACTGTTGCTCAATTTGCGAAAGTACGAAAACAATATAATTTAGGACATTTTTGTTGTGCGTATTTTTTTCAATGGGTGGAAAAACCCAGTTCGATGAATGGTCAGTATTATACAGTGACCCTTTTGAGTTCACCAGACGTCTAGCTAATTTAATGGATGTACCACCTTGATTCGACACTGTTCAACCGGTGCGGGCAGTTCACAACCATTTCAAAACCAATTTTCGTTTAAATGGTCCTAAATTCAACGCAATGGTAAGAATTCTTCAAAAGAAAACTGGCTACGATTGGTGAAAACTGAGAAGTTTGGTAAAATTTGGGCAATTCTGATTTAAATATCAGTAACAAGAAAAAAGAGTCGATAATCGGTAGAAACTGGTATTGACACCAAACATATTTTGACGCATCTCACATGATAAACAGGAAGCCTTTTTCTGAATATACTGTCTAGTAGTGCGTTCCATTAGGGTGAATAAAATTTACGTGTAAAATTCACACTATGAGCTAATTATTAATAAATTACGATTTGAAGTAAAAGATTTTATTTCAATTACAATTCATCAGCTGATGATAATTGAATTTTTTTGCCAAATCTAATCCAATACAGCACATAAGATATAAAGCTGGCCTCAACATGTTCATATCTCAAAATTTTCTTTAAAAAACTATCTCACGGTATCATCCACTCTAATGTTTTTTTTTTGCGCAACGTGTATATCATCATTCCATTTCATGTTCAAATAGTTTATTTCCAGCACACATTTCATAAATACAGAACAATGACACTTTAAATTATGGGCTAACCAAAGTATTCCGTCCCCAAAAACTTCCTTGAATACAAAACATTCAGATAGATTTTTTTTCCACAATTCATCATTCGATCAGCATGCATCAACGAAAAAAAAGAGAGAAGAGTTGAAACGACATTTCTTGTGGTCTGTCTATGCGTTTGTCGCCTCGCAGATTCAATGAAATTATTCAATAAATTTGATTACTGTGACAATTGATGGAAGCGCAACCGAATAAAGTATTAAATTTAGCGCTATATCAAATTATGTGTTGATGAAACGGTGGCTAAAGTGATAGTATCCGCTGTATAAAACACATATTCATTCATTCGGTGAGAGCTTTAAAGGAGATGCGGTTCGGTCTTAAATCTTGTGATCTTTGTTTTTGTTCAAAAATTGTGTGGGCCACTCGATTTTGTTTTTGGTATTTCATAATTCGAAAAATCACAACGATTTTCACTTAATTTTTTTAGTGTATTTTCCGTGGTGTTAGAACTATGTTAGTGATTATTTTGGCTATAAGTTTGGCATTTTTGAATGTTGCAACAACAACAGCAGCAACCCGGTTGCCTGAAGATATTAGTGAGCAAAGTGGTGATTTCGATTCTGGTCTTAATCCATTGCTCAATGTTGAAATACCGGATTTAAGTGAAAAATCGAATGAAGACGATGTTACAAGAGCCTTTTCAAATCAACAACAACGCCAACGAAGCAAACAGCAACAAAAAACGGCCAACGGTGCACAGCGCCCACTGACAAAAGCCAAACAACGAAAAGCTGATCTAAACGATGATGTTAACGATTTCATCGAACTAGTTCCAAAGGCGGAAATCAAAGCGAAAATTGAGGAATATTATCGCAATGACATGGATGTACAACATGTGTTCGAATGGATGCATGGTAAAGAGTTCCTCGAACTGCGTAAAAACATACTCGAATTGGCTGACGTAAAGGAAACACTTCAGTATTTGAATAAAAATGGTTTGAATGTGAAGAGCTTGATTCGAAAACTAGACCATAGATTGGGCGTATCGAAAATCCGCTCCGCACAATTAGCTTATAGCACGCAAACACAATTTGGTGAGCAATTGGACGAAACACACTTAATTTTAGATGAAACAAATTCAAACGCGTGTTGTGATTCATTTTAAACATTCATTCAGGTACAAACACCACGATTGGTGGACTAAACGGTTTAGTAGAAGATGTTCTTGCCTTGTTACCTCAAGACGAAATATTCATGCTATTTTTCGAGAAATTGGATAGTAGCCCGAAATTTGCCACATTCGTACAAAGTATTGGCGATCCCAGCTTTCATCGTAAATACACAACGCTTTGGGTATGTGAACATCATTTTCCCTCCTCCATTTTCTCTGTACTGAAACTATTTTAAAATGAATTGTTTCCATCATTTTGCAGAAATCAAAGGACTTGCACTCAGCCAGTGCTCAGTTAAAAAAGCACAAAATCGACGTTGTAAAAATTATTCAAATAATTCAGGGTTTCTTCATCTTTGGAACATTTTAAGCTTAAGTACTGAATGGAACTTTACAAAATCTAATAAAAATGGAACGAACATTACACACTCCCTTGTGGTGTTTTTTATGATCTGCAGCGCCAAAAAATACATCTTTTCATCCATTTATGATTGATTTACGCTTTCAATTGAAAGACGTGAAATTGATTCATTCACAACGTAATCAATGCAAGCATAAATAAAGTGAGAGTTCATGACGCAAACTTCTAGGTTATTCGTATTTGTTGTGAAACAGAGTCTCAAATTCAATGAACTGCGAGAGACATTCGACTTCCGAACATCGATAATTATGATTATTCTCTTATTACTCTGCAGAGTAAATTTAATCAAAATAATAACGAAATATTCGCGCCGAATAAATGTTGAACATTCAACTCTATCAATGTTTTCAATCTTCAACATTTTCAAAGTGGTGCGTAACAAAACTTTATTTCTCATCGCAGTAAAATGAATAGATTATTTCATAATTAAACCAAACTTTACTCTTATAAAAGCGACGTATCAAAAAAAACGCAGAATTTCGAAAACTTAATCTAGCACATGTGCCAGAGATGACCTACATGTCGATTATCTTCGCATGTAGAATTAATCTTAAGGTATAATTCCGTTCAATAATTTTTGTGTTCGTTCATAAATTAGCCATAAATCATTGAAACAATTAGGCTTTATTGGAAAAAATGTTAGCGAAAACCTTGTACCACCGTCAAAAACCGTGTACAGTATGATCACGAAAGTCGACTGTTGCGTTTGTTATTGGCAAAACTGTCCATTTTTTCAATTGTTAAAATGAAACTTGGAAATGAATGCAATTATTGTCAATTTGCCATTGTTGAGTGTCACAACGAACGGGAGTTTGATGTGTATCAGTGAATGATGGATTAGATTAAAATAAGTTGATAAAGCAAATAAAACAATGATAACAATTCGACATCTTGGAATGTGTAAAATCCATTGTATTTCCTACATTTTTCTTCATTCGCATTCTTCGCAATAAAAAAAATTCTCGAAATACAGGAAAAAAATAATTCGATCATGCAATTTAGTATATTAAGATGAATCATTTCATTCAAATATTATTTGGTCTTTGAAGTGGTTGGTTTTTTACCGTCGAGTTGATTGGAGTATTTTTTATTTTTATTCATTTATAATCGTGTTGATAACATAATACATTCCAATTACATTTTTCACCAAAAATGCGACTGAGATGCGTGATGAGTATCATTCATTTTAGAAAACGACGTGAAGGTGTTAAATAGCATGATTGATTTAACCTAATAAATATTTCGGCGATAAAATTTATTGTGCGAATCAATGATCAATAGATCGATAATCGTTCGAAGATGAAGATTATTGGGCAGCATAAAAGGCGGTACGGTTTCACCAGAACTTTCATTCAAGAGTTAACATGAAGACGATCAACATATTCTTTCTGGCACTTTGTGTGGGATGTGCCTTGGCTAACGCCAAATTCGATGGATTTGGATTTGATCTGACTCCACGCATCGTTGGAGGTAAAGACGCCAGCGAAGGGCAGTTTCCATACCAAGTATCACTCCGGAGCATGGTCACCAAGAAACACTTCTGCGGTGCCTCCATTTTGAGCAGCCGTTTCTTGTTGTCAGCCGCACATTGCTCACAAGAAATCAATGGAAAACCAAAATATGTGTTCGCTGTTGTGGGAGCGTTGAATCGGGTGTCAGGCGGAGATTCGTACGAACTGGATACGATCACACCACATGAAAAATGGGATAAAAAAACAGTCCTGAACGATATCTCATTGTTGCGCACAGCCAAAGAGATCGTCTTCTCGGACACCATTCAACCAATTGCTTTGCCAACTCAAGACACACCAGGAGAAATTGAAGTCCTTTTGTCTGGATGGGGTTACATTTCGGTAAGTTGATACATTTTCAATTTAATTTCTATATTTAAAATATAATTGTTCATTTCACAGTATTCACCAACCGGGGGGCAATCGACATTGCCAACTCTTCTGCAATTCACTAAACCAAACACTCTTAGCGTCGATGGATGCAAACAAGTGTTCAAGGAAAAGAAACATCCAGCTAACATCAATGAAAGTATTCTTTGCACAATAAATGAAATGGACGTTGGTGCATGCCATGGTGATTCAGGTGAGATGAATATATTTCAATGGATATATCAAGGAAAAAGCATTTTTATCAAATAATTTTGTCTGAGCAGGTGGTCCATTGGTTGACGCATCCAATCCAGAAAATAAAATCTTGGTCGGAGTCGTCTCGTGGGGAATTCCCTGCGGCAAAGGATATCCAGACGCATTCACACGTGTCTACTCATTTCTCGATTGGATCGGAGAACAAATTGCAAAACAAAGCCAAGATTTGGAATGAATCCAGTATTGATTTCAATAGTCAACATTTTTTAATGTTGAACAAATTGTATCATTTTAAAAATGGTTGATATGAGTGTGTTAGGCGATTAATAAAATTATTTTTCAACAAATCGTCTAGAAAAATTACATTTTGGTTTGTATTTAAAAAATAGGCGCAAGATGAAAGACGGAATGCTTGGTTCGACCAAAGGTGGGAAAATGCGTAAAATGAAATATATGATCGCACTTATGATTTCTATCTCCAAGTAATAAGGTCTATTACCAAATCATTAAAATAGTTCACTATCACAAGTGGTTGATACGGATTCTTTGGAAAAATAGCAATGCAATTTTTTCCAAAAAACCATTCAATCGTGAAATGAAGGCGGAAAGCGCAATATTTTTTGGCACTTTGTGCAATGTGTGTCGTCGCCGATTTTCAAGTACAAACTCGTATAATCGTTGTATATCACATACTTGGCGGGAACTATGTCGATCGGAAGAAGGACAGTTTCCGTTTCGCTTCGAAGCCGTCTTCGAAACGAGCACTTCGGCGGTGATGCAATCATAAGCAATCATTCAATTTAACAGCAATAATAGCACTTGCGTCGCATGACAAAATAAGGCACTTCAATTGCATTTCATTGTTGCGCACAGCCGACGAGATTGTCTTCACAAATCAATCTGTGCTTCTCTGCCATAAGAACCAATGTATTTGACGTGACAATGAGTAGCGGTGGCGCCTAAATAGAGTCTGCGGCAAGTTTAGGAACTATCAATACTTCTTGTTGTTGCGAAAATCATGACAACAACAACAAGTATTGATAGTTCTTAAAAATGCCGCAAATTGCTAATACATCTTATTTAGGCGCCACCGCTATCTTGCGCCGGCCAAAAGTATAGGTTGTCACAAATCTCATTCAACCGATCGAACTGCCAACGCATGACTAACCAGATGATGAAAAGATTAAAGTTTTGATTCCATATCTTGATTGGATTGCAAGCAAAATGACAAAACAACACTGAGAATTTGTTGGATGAATTTTCTATCGAGTGTGGAAACATTAGGTTGATAAGATATGTAATATTTGATTATGCCATCAATATGAATTCAACACTTTACAAAAAAATGAATGAAAAAATTATAGAAGATATACTTCCTATACCTTCCCAACTGAGAAATTATTAGTAGTTTCTCTCGTTTAATTTCATATACTACCTATTCCAATATGTATTTTTAGAACAACAAATGTGCATTTCATCCTGGAAGTATAAAAATTGATAATACATGGATAAAATACTATATTTTACGACAAGATATTTTGTTACTACTCCAATAAAACAATTGCCTAATATAATGTTACAAGACGATTTTTTTTTCGTTAGTTAAGTGAAAACGATTTAGATGTGATAGAATAAGTATCAATTGATCAAAGGAAAGTTGCGCAGTTATTTTTTCAAAACCAAATCTAGTTTACGCATGATGAAAAGGTATTTTGGTCAAGTATCGCACATTTTTTTATGAATACTTCCTATGATAAGATTTTTTTTGTGCGAATCAATGATCGATAATCGCTCGAAGATAAAGATAATTTGGAAGCATAAAAGGCGCTACGGTTACACTAGAATTTCCATTCAAGTTTTAAATTTTCACAGTTAACATGAAGACGATCAACGTATTCCTTCTGGCACTTTGTGTGGTGTGCGCTTTGGCTGACGCCGAAATTAATGGATTTGGATTTGATCTCAATCCCCGCATCGTTGGAGGTAAAGACGCCAGCGAAGGACAGTTTCCATACCAAGTATCACTCCGGACCACGCTCAGCAAACAACATTTCTGTGGTGGCTCCATTTTGAGCAGCCGTTTCATATTGACAGCCGCACATTGCTCACAAGATATTAACGGAAATCCAAAGTATGTATATGCCGTGCTTGGAGCTTTGCGTCGACTGTCTGGAGGGGTTATTGTCGAATTAGATAAGATCACACCACATGAAAAATGGAACCCAGCCAAAATCCAGAACGATGTATGCTTGTTGCGTACAGCCGAAGAGATCGTCTTCTCAGACACCATTCAACCAATTGCTTTGCCAACGCAAGACACACCACAAAAAACTGAAGTCCTTCTGTCTGGATGGGGACGTACATCGGTACGTCGATGCATTTTCAATTTTATTTCAATCTTTTCCGTTCATTCTTATATTGAAAATAAAATTGTGAAATTATTACAGTATCCAACGCCATCCGGACAATCGCCATTGCCAGATATTCTGCAATTCACCAAACCGAACACTCTTAGCGTTGATGAATGCAAAAAGCGGTTCAAAGGACACGCAGCTGCTGCTAACATCCATGAAAGTATTCTTTGCACAATAAATGGAAAGAATGTTGGTGCCTGCCATGGTGATTCAGGTGAGATGAATATTTCAATGGCCCTTTTTTGTCAAATCATGAAACTTTTATCAAATAATTTGGTCTGAGTAGGTGGTCCATTGGTTGACGCATCCAATCCAGAAAGCAAAACCTTGGTCGGGATCGTCTCGTGGGGAGTTCCCTGCGGCAAAGGATATCCAGACGCCTTCTCACGTGTCCATTACTTCCTCGATTGGATTAATGACCAAATTGAAAAACAAAGTCAGGATTTTGAATGAATTGGAGTTTGAAAATTATTTTTCAATGTGGTTGTCATTATTGTAAATGTAGTTTCAGTAAAAAAAAAACGATTTAAAAAAAATATTATTCCAAAGTCCAAGAAATTCAATAAGAAGTTAAAATAGAAAGAGAAATACCTTGAATGGAAGATATTTTTGTCAACGAAATAAAGCGACAAATAAATAATAGTCGTCACCGATACAAATTCAACTGTGTGAAAACTAATTGAAAATGGAAAAAGACAGATCTCACAATCTGTCATCAAAATTTAATAAACGAATGATGGCACGAAGCTATGCATCTTCATTCCGAATGTCTAACGTAAGTATATGGGAGAGACGATTGATATATTCTGTAGTATCTGCAGACGATTAGAATAAAATGCCTTTTGATTGACAGAAAATTGTGTTCAGAATTAATTTGCAAAACAATGAATAGAATTCGAAACGAATTTCTTATAGGTAGAGAGCTACTTTTTTTGTATACGGCAGATTTTCGCGAAATTATCAACTTCACACCGCGTTCTATCCGAAATATATCACTTGTTTTATTGTAATTGGGCGAACGTTTCCATGCGAGCTTTTCCATATGTCGACTGGATAACAAGCAAAACCAAGTAAAGAACTTGTATACAAATCCAATAGAAGATGATTGATTTGATTGGTATTTATTATTTCGTGGTTCAAGCCGATTGATAAAAAAAACGATTCAGATGTGATAAGTATCAATTGTTTAGAAAAAAAATTGCTCAGTTAGTTTTTTTTTCTTTAAACCAAATTTAGTGCACGTATGGTGTGAAAAAGCGTTTTTTTTTCAAGATAATGAATCAGATATTGGTATAGTAGAGAAGAATTTCTACGGTATTTCATTGAAAAAAGTAGTCATAATCAATTCTGGGAACTACTTACCGTACACATTTTCGAATGAACATTTCATTGCCCGCTCGTGGCTACTATTTTTATTGTTGTATTTTTATGAAAAAAAAATGATTTTCGTATTTTGATAAGATTAATGGCTGAACATTGTTTATTGATTGTCATTCGATTCGGGATTGATTGATTGCAGCACAAACTATGAATCATTATTCTAAACAAACTTTGACACTGCATTCATTCCGGCAGATCCACTTGAATTGACCCCATGGGGTGCAATAAAGTGGAATAATACACATGGTGCGGCTGTTGACACTATATTTTCCTATATTTCGAATTGGCGCGCTGTTTAGTTCCGATTTGAAATGTTAAATTACATTGATGTGCCCTTTGAAATTGGGGGCGCTCGCGTCGCCTCAAATGACTTTGACGTTCAACAGCCGCCGCACGATAATACAGGAAAAAAGAAGAGATTCATTTAAATTTAGAAAAAAACAAAAAACAAAAATAAGTTTGTTCTTAACTTTATTTCTCTTTGTGAATTGTAACAGAAGTATTACGATTGTGTATCCATTTTTTCACAATTCGTTTCAGTTCGGTTTGCTTGATCAAGTTTCCGTTGCGCTGCTTCGTTTGAATTGATGATATCGATTCGCCGCTTCTTAGCATAGTGTTCGATACGATCTTCCAGGCTATCTGTAATCAAAACAAAGTATGTGGTTGAAATCACAGTCGTCATGTATTCGGATTAAAAAAGTATGAAACCTACTGCACTTGTCTCGTGTAAATAACGGTTTGTATATTTTGGATCGCACGCCTTCTTGCAATGCATTACAATATTTATAAATGTGACTTTCGCCCATTTTATTTTCATAAATGTCTTCTAAAACTTTCAACATCTCGAGGATCATATGACTTCTGTGAATGAGAATGAAAATTAATAAACTTCTAAGTACAATAAAATGTTGAGTGAAAACAAAACAAAAATTAAGTTCAAATCGTGAAAATTAATCTTTGTACGAAGAATGAAGAAAACCAAAAACGAATAACTACCCAAGAGAAACGACCAATATGTTTATACGCTGTCTATCCGCCGAAAATACACTACAATATATATTCACGCTTATTGGACGCCCAATTGAATATATATTCTAGTGTATATTCGGTGTATTCTTCAGCGTGAAACATATTGAATCAATGAATGCATTCATGGCCATCAGAGGGCGCCTGAATATGTTTCAATATGTTTCACGCTGAAGAATACGCCGAAAATACACTAGAATATATATTGAATTCGGCGTCCAATAAGCGTGAATATATATTGTAGTGTATTTTCGGCGGATAGACAGCGTATAAACATATTGGCCGTTTCTCTTGGGTAATTGCTTACCTTACGCTAAATTGAGTCCATTGTTGTTGCAGCGCTCCAATAACTCTCTGAAGTGTGAAGCTATCATAGATCCAATCATGAGTCTCAATGATGAAATCTCCGATTGGCACCGTATTTTTAGAGTAATTTTCCATTTCAACGTGGAATAAATTCAGGGGAAAATCGGCGGCCAAGCTATACTGTGGAGTGCGTGGATTTCGTTTAACGTTTAACAATTCGTTGATAATTTCCGGTTTCTCATCTTCTTGTCCGACTAACAGAAGAATGGCCATAATTGCTCGAACTTGATGCCATAAAAATGCCTTGCCGATCAACTCAACGTAATGCATATCATACGGACTGCATCCATCACTTTTTCGACATGCTTCCACCACACGAACATTTCTGAGCTCACGTTCAAACGTAATGACACCGTTTCCAACATCCATTTTACACAGATTTCGAAAGTCATGGACGCCAATCAAATATTTGCATGCTTGTTGCATTGCATCAACGTTCAAGTTGCTCCGCGGAAAGAAGTACCGATAGACACGTTCGCGACAATCGAATCGAGAACTGAATTCTGGATTGTACAACGGTTGCCATGCCACAACTCGAATGTCCAGCGGCAGCACACGATTCAAAGCGTCACAATAGTGAATTTCATTTTTAATCGCCTCTTCTGTCATTTGTTTTTCTGGCGGGAATTTACTTCTCAGATCGATTGAAATCACCTTATCGTTAGAGGGAGAAGAGAGAAGACGGTTAAAAGAAGATTATAATGTAAAAACCGATTTGGCTCACCTGTGAAAAAGCACTAACGCCTTTATCGGTGCGTCCACATCGATGATAATTGGAATTCTCGCGTTTCTCAATCAGGCAAGTTCGCTTGAGCGCAGTAAATAGATGGTATTCGATTGTTTTGGCCGATTCCTCTTGTGTGGCAAAGCCTTGGTAGTCCCAGCCCAAATAGTACAGCTTTAGTAACACATGACGAGTATGACGACTGCAAATAGAATGGTTTTTTTTTCATTGCTTCTACATTTTCATTTCGATTGAATCAATCTCTTACTTAGTAAAGTCAAATTTTTTCTGTTTGGCGATTTTCGCATTTGTATCGGTAATATTTAATTCCTTCTTCAGCACATTTTTCAGTTGTTGATTGTGTGTCTCCAATTGCAAAATTCTATTGATTAGCTCCTTTTAAATAAACATCGAATCAGTGGAATTGCATTTGAATCGGTAATTCAATAAATTCTAACCTCTTTGGAACATTTCTCCAACTCTTCTCTCGTTGTAAGTTTTTTGCGACGATTCACAAATACTATTAAATTCTCATCCATTTTTTTAAATCAACAGAAACTATTTCGATAAATTCGATAGAATAGATTTGAAGAGGACAAAAACAGATATTTTTTGTTGATGAACCAAACAGCATGCAACGATTCAAAACTATCGCACTGATGACTACTATGACACTTTCTGTCAAAACACAACACATGTATACATGTGTGTGAAAAGGCACACGTGACGTTTTGTACTAAAATTTTGATCATTTGACGATTGTTGCATGTTTTGAATGCGCGCATTTCAATTCTTTTTATTGAAAAGAGTAAATCAAAATTAAGAGAAAAAAAATGAAACGAATTTGATTGTCATTTCCTTTAATGTGTAAAAATGAATATCATCATAACAATTTGTAGTTTACAAATTGTCTGAAAACGGTTGCAACGTTTTTGATTGTTTACGCTTGGAATTTATAGAAATTTATCTCAGTTATTTGAATTGTATGTTTTATTCAAGGAAATTCATATTAGAATGATCGATGGCAAAACTTTCAAAAATTAGCGAATAATCATAGAGCACTTTTTCACCTATCGATTGAAGAATCTTCAATGGAGCCTGACTTGGATGCTAGGGGGTAAGAACTGAGTAAATGAAAATATAAATATTGTAAATAATCGCATATTCTACCGAGTTTAGATCAATACGCTTCAATGCGTGTCGATGCGCTGAATAACTAGCTGCGAATGCATGCAAATATGTTCAATAAAATGTGCGTATTTGCAACTGTCATTCGTGCTCGCCACGAACGAGACGAAGCAACAGAAGAAAACAACAACAATAACACTACGGAACGCAGTGCAAATGCCTGTGAATATTTGTCAATACGTGTCAATAAAGTAAATATACCAATAGTTCTTTCCCCCTAGCTTGGATGTAATAATTTTTTGAAAATTTCTTGCTAAAATTTGCATACTTCTCTCAATGTTTCAACGGCTTTCAAAGAGTTGCATCTCTTTGGTGGTGGTAAATGATATTAGCTTTGTGCATGATATAAAGCATATTTTTAACTCTTTTCAACTATAACAATACCCGAAACAATAATCTTACTGATAATATGCTTACCCAAAATAGTTGCTTAATCTATTTAAAAACAAATAGGACGTTGAGCATTTCGCAAATGTTCCCAAGAAGAGTAAAATTGTAGTAAACATACATGACGATTGCTCTGTTGTCGTTCCAGAGTTGAAATCAAGCGTACATCCAAACTTTTTGACACATTTTAAGCGCATATTGATCCAGATAAAATGAAAATTGTTGCCATCAATTGCAAAAAAATGGTTAACAAAAAGTTTATAAAGGACGTGGATTTTATTACTTGTTTTTTACATTAGGACACCAATACTTAATTTTATTTCAAATTCATACTGATTGCATAGAAATGAGGTAATACATAATATTTTCATTCTTAACTAAAGTGAATCCTAATTAATTTTGTTGTTTTTTTTTTCAATTTCCGAGGCTTAGCTGTAATTTTATTTTTACTTGTGGGGAAAAAGTAGGGAAAAAAACAAAATTTGTTGCGTGTTTGTAGACTTCCGTAGTCCTTCTTCAATTGGAATTGAAGAGCATGAAATCATCTTTTACGCGATAGACCCATTCGCTGTTGTCTGACGTTTTCCATTCGGCGGCCGACGAATTTTTTCAGGTTGGTTTCGTTGAGGTCGTCCATTTCATTTGGAGACAATTTGTTTACGATGCGCGTCAACACGAATTGATGGAAATTCACATTGAAATTGTTAGTACAATGGACCATCATTTTGTTAATCATTGTGGCATTGAACTTGTAATCATTTGCGCACAATTTTTTTAGTTCGTCTAAGAATGCACCCAGATCATTCTCAGGATTGAAGATTTTGCGAATGATGTATTCAACACATTTGTTGGATGGTTGGCCCAGGCCGTTTATGACATTGACCAATTGCTTCAACGCTTTTGTGTATGAATTTTCTTCCTGCAAGAAAGCCTGAAACATATAATCATAAATTGGATCGCGACCAGCGATTGGAGAATCATTGATCAGTTCCAATAAATGTTTCAGATCTTCTTGACGACCATGTTTGACCAAATCCTTACACAGATCCGGAATATATTCCGGCACTGTGTTGAGCGAAGCATTTTCCAAATGTCCAAACAATGTGTCAATGCGCTCGTCGGTCGGTTGTCTTCGAAGACCTTCAATCCAATCAAATGACACGCTGCCATTGCCACAGAATCGTTTCGCATCAGACAAGTATTCATCAAGTGACGACATGGAATTGAGGCTGGAAAAGAGTTAATCGAAACACAATGTTGGGTTAATTGATGTATCATAGTAGCTTCGACATCAACATCTTGAACATTTCTATGAATTCTTCCAAAACGTTGTAAATTGTTCAATAGTTCGAATTCTCATTGACAGATTCCATGCTGTTGAAATTTCTACGGATGCTTTCATTTTTAGTGAATAATTTTCTTGTAAATTGGGAAAGACACATCTTAAGTTTTGAGATAAGCCAATGGAAGTCTAACTAGAATTTTCTTCTATACTCATAAGCAATAAAATAAAAAAAACACTTGATTTTGTTGAGAAGAAATTGGAATTTGACTATGAAGCCATGATCATCGGCATTAATGCTTCATGAACAATTGGAAAACATTTGCAATAAAAATGTTCGTGATTGACAGTATAGAATCGATATAGTTCAATCGCTTTTTTCAACTATGACTTATTCAATTTCTTCAGGTACGAATTTTTTGAAATGTCAGGAAGCTCAACAAACGGTATGAATTGTTGAGGTTTATCGTGTGTTGCACCGCAACATGAATTATCATGTCAGAGTATGTTTTTATTCTCACTTATAGGCTATCTCACTCAGACGACTGTTGGAATCAACACTGAAGCAAGCACAGGTGTTCACAAATGAAATCAATGTCACAAAACATGGGCAAAATGAGCATAAAATGTACGTGTGCCAAATATTCGAAGATTTTTAAGTCATGTAAATTATCAACAGAAGAATTTTGCGTCGAACGGTCTTAAATGAATTTCGTGATTCAAATGAAAGACTTGCAAATACGATAAAACTACACGCAATTTTTACGTACCTTCTTTTCTTAGAATTGTCACTCATCAACGACTCGCCATCGTAAAACAAACTAATCGCATCAGATTCATTTGAGATCTATTTGTTTTCAAAGAAAGAAAATGAATATTTTTGTTGCATGAATTCATTTAATGTTTGACATTTAAGTTACAAGTAAATTTCTAGCAAAAAATTATTTACATTTCGCTCTAATTCGTCTTGTTTGTCCATTTTGTCGGGGAATACGTGTCGTCCTTAACAATTCCAAGTGCGCAATAGATCCAATTCGTATGCAATACAGAAATGATGCTTTTCAGTATAAATACCGTTAAGCCCAATCGCCGCGCATTGATTCTAATTCGAAATGTCTATTGGCATGTAGACTGCAGTACCACACAGTGTTGTGACAGCTGTATATTTCAAATGCGGTCAACCTAACCTCAATCAAAATCCTTACAAAACATTCGCTATGCAGAGTTGTACATTATTATTTAAATACAAAAGAAAATTTAAAATTTTACTTGGCCATGATCTCCTAGTCCGTTTTAAGTCGTGTAGTAGTATATCAGACAATTTTAAATTAAATGTACTGTTCTTTGGCACCGATCAATTTTCACTCCGTAGTCTCATTCTATTGGATAATTCAGCGTAAGTATGAAAATGAAATGTTCCGCAGTGCAAGTGTTTGTTGATTGAATGCTTCTGTTTCTTCGCCTTTTTCCATTCTTCCAGAAAATGTAAGAAATCGAAAATCAATCGACTTGATGTGGTCACATCGTTCAGGGGTAAAGATAATCCAGTGAAACAGTATGCCGAAAAAAATGGAATTGATTGCTGTGATTGGCTTACATTGAAATCAAATAGCGCGAAAATCAAATACGATTTAGGTGTTGTGGTGTCATTTGGCCATTTGATACCGGAAAATATAATCAACATGTTTCCGCAGTGCGTACAATTTGATGACAACCACATTTAAGCGAAATAATTCTCATTGGTATAATTTTCTGTCATTTAGTGGAATGATAAATGTACATGCTAGTCTATTGCCACGATGGAGAGGTGCATCGCCGATTATTTACGCAATTTTAAATGAAGATGCGATAACTGGAGTGTCCATAATGAAAATTCATCCATATAAATTTGATGTTGGCGAGATTTTGGCGCAGAAAGAGGTGGAAATCCAGAAAAATGTATTAATGCCGAATTTACACGAAACACTGGCAAATGAAGGTGCTCAACTTCTACTGGATTGCATCGAACACGCTCCAGATAGCTTTCAGAAAGTGAGGGAGCAAAACAACAGTGGTGCTACTTACGGTATTTTCTACATTCCTTTGGCTTGATCGACCTTTCGCTTATCTAATTTTTTGAATTAAATTTCTCAGCTCCAAAAGTGCCCGAATCAATGGCCCAAATTAATTGGCAAGTGATGACAGCAAGATATGTGTGTAATTTGTACAGAGCATTGTACTCATTCAAATGGCTAACCACATACTGGCACAAGCGACGTGTGAAAATCAGAGAGCTTGACCTGTCTAGTGATACCACAGAGGAGGCAAATCCAGTCAAACGGCCGGGTTGTGTAGAATATGATAAAGCCAATAAATGCCTGCGTGTGTACTGTAGTGATGGCCATTTCATTCGGATAAAGCAATTGGTCCTTGAAGGAAAATCTGTGATGTCGGCTGCCGATTTTAACAACGGTTTTCTCAAAAAAGTCGATCCAACACAACGCATTTTCACGTAGCAAATTGTAAATTGTATTGTTTAAATAAAGAAATGTCAGAGAATTTTTTTTCTGATTAAAAACTTCGATTTTATTTTCGGTTTTGTTTCTTTTAATAATTCAGATAAATCAGTTGTTAACAGGATTGTAGTTGTAATTCACTTGTTGATTTTACAAATTAGAAATTATGCCCCATTCGCATGTTCGCTAAATGAAAAGAATTTCTAGATAAAAATGACCAGATTGGTTAAATTAATCTATGTAAAGCGTTTTTTTTGTTGTTGTTTCTGTGTTAATTTAAGTAAACATATAATATTCACATTACTTGAAACTTGCAAAACCTATTCAAATTGCTTAGGTACATGTGTATTGTATATTAACTAATGGAGTTGTTGAATTTTTATCCTAATATTTCATCATTTGTACAATCGTGTGTATTCGTCGACGGTGAAGTTTGTCGATTCGAATCAAACACAATATTCGTTCAAATCCAACATGTGAATGTGAAGAAGACAAATTAAGCGAATGTTTGCCTGCGAATTGTATAAAGAGAGAGAGAGAGAAAAAAAGAAGAAGATCGAACAAAGAAAATCATATAATCAACATGCCATCATAATCAGAATGTTTTTGTTGGCTGGTCCGGATAAAAAGATGGATGCGACGAAATTGCACAAAACCAAAATAAAAATAAACTGATGATGCAAACAGATCAACAATTATACAGCTAAATACAAACCCAATGAACGGGGAGGACATATTTTTCTACAACAATCGCATTTTTGTTTGATTGGATTGCTTTCCAAATTACGATGAATGGAAGCCATACTAAAGTGTCTGGATTTTGGGAGAGGAAAAATGATTTACACTTGTATGTGATGAATCTGGTATTTGATCATCCAACCAGAAGTCTATAGTTTCATATCGCAAATTTAGCTTAACTCTTATCTTAACCCTATCCATTTTATGTGCGTATGAAAATATACTTTGAACTTTTTAATTAATTTAAACAAATCAATTTTCTTCAAATACTACTTATGATATAATTTCCCCAATATTTTTGCTTTATACCGGCGCTTTTCGGAACGAAAAATTTATTTATAAACAAAAATACTGACTGAAAATAGGCTCTGTGTTGTATAATTTTTCTTTTTAACACAAAACTGACCATCTGGAGAGTTAACTGAAGAAAAGATGAAAAGACAATGAATACACCAGAACACAACTTGTATACAATATTAACTAGTTTTCTTCTGTTAAATGCTTACAGTTTTTTCTTTCAAATTGATGCAATGAATGAATTTGTTATGGTTTCATTTCAACTCCTTAAAATTTGGAAATAAATGACAGTTTTTACATTTCAAATTCAAATAGTATGATAAATTGTTTGGCCAAATATCTCTGTTTTCTTTTCCGTTCGAAATTTAATTAAATTCTTAACTTAATTTTAAAAAAATCAATTAGTATTTTATTTCCATGTTAAAATGTATGATAAATTCAAAATAAAATTTCGAACAAAAATGTAATCAATATGAATATTTTACAAATAAACTGAGTCTAAACAATAAATTGATGATGATTATTTGATTAGGGATGAGTGCACGCAATAACTGTGACAATGCATCGCTGCTTAGAGTTTCGCAGTAATATGTTTGCAACTACAAAACAAATATGATACAAGAAAGAGAGAAAAAAACACATATATTATGAATAATTTCATGACATTCCATTTCGAACATATGATGAACAACTAAAAAAAATATTGCTGTAAAAAATATACACATGATTAATAATAAGATAAGTCAAAAGGGGTTAAATAAGGCGCTTCAAATCGGCTGTGAGTGGATTTTCGGTTTTTTTAGTTGGAGCATTTCAATGTTAAACGCTTTAATTGAGGCAATTGATTAAAAGCGCATAAATTGAATTCATTGATTCAAACCAATCTTACAAGGTGAACACATCTGAAAAGCTCTTGAAATTGTTTTGTTCGGATGGATTTTTGAACCATTTTTCGCGCGAATTATTATAAATCAAACAGCAGATTCGAAAAGATGTGGTGTGTATGGATGACGAAAAGTCGTGCAAAGGTTGATTTTGTGTGCTTAAATTTCATTTCGCTCTAAAAGATAACCGAACGAGATCGAATGTGCAAAGAGAGAAAGAGATAGAGAAAGAGAAATAGGTAGAGACATGTGAGAACAACAAATTGGACGAATTAATATTAATTATCACTAAATCAAGTGCTGATTGTGGTCAGATATTTTGTGTACAAAGTTTAAAAAACCAAAACAACCACGGAGAAAACACGGTACAAATTACAAGTTTTTTTTTTTGACAGATGAAAACGGAAATTAAAATTAAAATTAAAAAAAAACAACGACAAAAAAAACATAACACAATTTGGATATTTCTTGTTTTGATTATTTGCAAAATCACCTTTTAATTTGGTATATTCTTTTTTTTTCATGTCATTTATAATGAACGTATAATTGAACATTGGTTAAACATTGATTGACTTTTGGTCTTGCAGTGAATCGATTACTAATCATTCAAATCCGAGTACAAAAACCAAAAGACAAACAAAAAATGTTTGTAACATTAACCAAATAATTGCATCAAATGTAACACATAAAATGGTTCGAAATAAACATAATGCCAGCTAAACAAAATCAACGAAAGAAAAACGAAAACTGTCGGTAGGTCATTGTTTTCGGTGTCGATATAAAATTATTATGTACAATAACTTTGGTTTTTTTTTTTGTTTTCTTTCATTTTTTTTTTTGCTCATATATCTCAACCATCGGGACTTTGGGTCACTACATTTCTAAGGTCATAAATTTAGTTGGCGTTTTCATTTTTCTGTGTGTTCTTTGTTTAGCTACATAAATTTGAACATTTTTTGTCTATCACAAAATATGAGAAACATATTTTATTATAGTTTTTTGTTTTTTGATTTAATGAAGCGTTAAGAGTGAACATTTTCGGGTATTTGTTTTTTGTTATGTTCCATTGACTTACATATGCTCCGGGTGTTCACGTATACAGTCAATAAGTTGATTTGGCTTGAGTTTGCCAATGCAAATGTTGTGAATAGCAGTGAACAATGGGAACCTGTTTAAGGAAGGCAACAAGAAAAAAAAACATTGGATTTAAGACTGACCGAAAGTGTCGAATGTAGTGTCGTTATTTACTTTTCTTCCATTTTTTTGTTTGAAAGCATGAAGTTGACTTCTTTAGCAGTAGGTGGACCCTGTAATTTTTGACCATTCAACATTTCTTGTTCAAGCTCTTCGATCGTCTTTCCGCTGGTTACGTATGCTTCTGACACTTTACGGTTACGACCACCTGGTATTCCGAAGGTAAGAGAGACAAAAACACGTTTAAATATCAAATGTCCCACAAAAAAAGTCTTGCAGATCCGCATACCATAACAGGTTGTAATCAAATCAGCAACACCGCAACTCTCAAAGAATGTTGCCAATTTGCTACCTGGATAGAAGACTTCCACGAATTTGATCATTTCCATAAGGCCTAAACGAATGACAGCAGCTTTTGTGTTGTCTCCTAGTTTCAAACCATCAACAAAACCAGCGCCGCAGGCAACAATATTCTATTCGTTATCCAATGGAAATGGATGATTATTTGCAAAACATATTCCATAAACAAAATTAATATGATAATAACTCACCTTTAGAGCGCCACACACTTCAACCGTATTAATATCATCGACTACAACAACACGGAAATAGCTAGCTTGCATTGTGTCACGCAAAATTGGTGCCCATTTCTTATCATTACAACCGATTGTGGTTTCGCAGAAATTTTCATTGGCCACTTCATTTGCCAAATTGGCGCCCATCAAAACGTAGCATGGGATTTCCAAGTGCCTTGTGATGATGTGTGAAATCAATTCGATACCACCACCTGGGGCTACATCAAAACCTTTGATTAGTGATAAACCAACGGCGGTTTTCTTGATTTTGCCCAACAATTGCTTGCATTGGCCTGGGATGAACTGATGTGGAACGACGAAAATCAGAATGTCAGCATCTTTGGCAGCTTCCACCAAATCGGGAACGGCAACCTGTAAACACACAATCAAGTGAAATTTATATCAATTGTACAAATTGTTCCGTTTCAAAGTACCATTTGGAATGAGAAAAATGTTCTTTTGTTCACTCATTAAATCATGGTTTATGTTACGTGAATATACTGCGTAAGAATTCGGTAAACCAACAAAGAATCTCTCAGCAAGTCTTGCTATTTTCGTTATCATGCGATTGATATTTGAATGGCCTTGAACGCGCTACACAAACATCTGCATACAAATAGACAACAAACGTGTTGTAAGGTAAAAATAATACTGTTTGTTATGTCATTATATCGAACCACGTGCATATGATAGTACGAATAGCATCTTAAAAACGTATTTTTTAGTCTAGTTCTTGTTTCATTCGCTATTTTGGTAATTCTTTTGCTCGTTCGACACCACGACCTTATTTTCAATCATTCAATCTTAAGTCATATATATTTGGTTTTCTTTTATGCACCCGTGTGGAATCTTATTTATTGACTGAGTATCCAGCCGATTAATTTGGGACTTTTGGTGTCGAACAAAATATACGACTATTTTTCACTTATACCTAGTACCCTGATAGTTACTCTTGAGTCAAAATGTCCAAAAATAGTCGTCTGGCTGAGAAAAAGGAGAAGCTAAACGTGATTGTTACTATACAACAATTTTGAATTCAATCAACTCAGACAGTCTAAGTTGTTTGCAGCTACATGCAACTGAGTGATTGTTAGTCATTTCATTTCCACGCGGGATAATGCTCGATTTGTTTCAGTTGTTTTTTTTTTATCGGTTTAGTACTTTAGCGGTTAGTGAACGCTATCAATTTATTATCACCACACTCTATTGCTTGCAATAACGCGCACCATTGACAACTGAATGGTGGAATAAAAACGTCTAGTCGATATGAAAAAGACCACAATGTTTTTTTTTCACTTTTCCGCTTTTTTCTAGACATGGAATAATTTGAGAATAAACAGCAATTGATAGGATTATCAATAAATGATTTTCGGGGCGAAAATTGTATTTTTCCACTATTATTCAGACTTAGAATAATTAATCATTCTTGAGTAATTAGCATTCGGAGCAAAATAAACATAATCAAGTGATATTATTATTTGTAAAAAAGATATTTTTACTACTTTACACCGCAACACGAACTGATGCTTTCGAACAATCAGCGCCATGATCATTAGTTTGATAAGCCCGTGATGAAAAGGCGACTCTCGCAGAAAATTATTTATTTGTTGATTTTAAACGGGGTATAGTGAATGATGTGCGAGTATCGTTCGTTTATTTGCCGCACAAAAAAGGCCACATTCACGTGGCCTAATACTACGCAAGTTCTGTTGTCAATTGAGAGTTCTCACATGTTGCCGACAAAAATTACGTAAATTCAATTTGAACAACAACGATGCCACTGAATCAGTGAGTAAGCCCAGTGCCACATCAACGCCTTTTACATTTCAAGTGGAAACAATATCTTGATGTGAGTAATGCGTGGTTTTTTTTTTTTACATATTTGCTATCATCATAAGAACGATGTGTAGGAACGTTGTGTTAAGTAATTACTCTTTGATGATTGCATTTCAGACGAAGGCGCATTTTGGTTGTCAGAAATATGATGAAAAACAAAATCAAATCAATAACAACACATTTTACCGTTTCGAAAACAAAACAAAGCTACAGCATACGAGAAAGCGAATTTAATGCTTTTATTCTTGCTCCTCCTGCTTCGGATGCGTTTTCTTTATGCTTGAGAGTTTGCCAATTATATTTTGGTAGCGAACGAATTTTGTATATTTAGAAGACATTCACATTGATATCGTTTTATTTTGAACAGTGGTTTGATGCCAAAGTCAATTCGAACATAGCCAAAAAGGAGATGTTACGCGACCACGAATATGATCATGAATTTTAGCATTATTGACAATGATTAAAATTGATTCAAGTGCGATTCGTTTTTGTTGTTCTAAAGGTCAAGGTTTGCGAATGTCAAGTGCACTACACTGCATTCGCCACAGAAAGAAAGCGCATATATTTTGCTTGTAGAAAAATAAACACAAACACACACACACACACAGGTCCACACCCCGCATAATTTTGGCTTATTAGGTGCGATTCGATTTAGATTAACGTGTTTGGCTCGTATCGAATCGTTATTAATTTTAATTGTTACTTCTCTGAATTATTAACGACTGAAATGCGAAACCTGTTTACATTGTATCGTTGTCATCGTAATCAAACATATTGATTGAGACACGATGATTGATTTCGTCTATCCGTGTTTCAACTTACCACATTCGGAGGTAATTTGTGTCCGGGCAAGTATTTCACATTTTCATGTGTTTCATTGATGATTTCGGTGAGTTTTTTACCATTAATATCCTCTTCGAACACGTACATTGTGACACGGTCATTGAAATTTTCTAAGCGAGCTGCATTTGCACCAACGATTTTTGCAATGGCTGAACCCCTGCAATGATACAACCAAATATAATGTCAAACATCTTCATACTTCACATTAAATGTATTCACAATTCGTATTCGATCATTCATCTAACCGTAAGTGTGTGTATTAAGTAATACGTCGAGCGATAGTACTCGTAAATTACACACAGCGCTCATTATTCTCGACAGATCGAAGTGCGGATAACCTGTGTCATTTGTAAACACACACACACACACACACACACACAAACAAGTGACCTTGAATTTAGAAATTTCGAAGGATAACGCATTTTATGTAATATTGCCTTTGTTGCAATAACAATACCATGCACCAGTTCCCGCTCGAATCTAATTCCGATTTGCAGCCTTGTCGATAAATTCACATGCACTTTCTTTCGATTTATTATTTCTTTTTCTGTTCACTGTATTTGCGTGAAATACCAGTATGGTTTTATATTTCGGTTATTTCGCGGTGGCCGCTTGACTTTTGTTATATAATTTTTAATAGAATATTTTTCATGTGTGTATTTATTCTAATTTCAGAACCATTAAATCGACCAGAGAAACAGCAAAAAAAATCATAATAAACAATCTTCATGAAAGTAATGTGCATTTATTTAGCGTTATTTTTCTGTATGGTTCTGTACACTTTTTGCACCAAAACACATTCCCGTCAATGCCAAAACCCGTTGCATGACTCGAAATGCATTTGGATTGAAGGGCATACGTTTAGTTACTGTATTTTTCTTTCAATCGAAAACCGAATGATTATCAAAACTGATTTTCGCTTTGGTTCTCGTTTTTCATTTTCAAAATGCACAGTCTAGCATTTCAACTTACCAGTTACCGGAGCCAACAATGCATACGTTTATTTTATTTGAAGCCATATCGTATAAATTGATACACCTTTTTGAAAAAAAAAAAACGAGAATTTACAAAAAAAAAATCATTCAACAGTTATTAAAAAAAAAATCAATATTATATTTGAACAAAAAAATAAAATAAAAACAAAAAGAAAATAAAAAATCGGTGGAATATACAGACTGTGGCTTATGCACAAGCTGCGATTATAATAATAGAATTTAAAACGAACACAACGTTACTTGGTATTGCTGTCGCGATTTTTATTTTCTTTACGATTTTTTCTTCTTCTTACGGTTCGTCGACGGAAAATCACACGATTTTTCGACAAAACTCAGAACACAACTGAATTGTTTTGGATCTCTGTCGACTTTAAAAATATCAGCAATTTCACTTTAACCCTATGCATGTGTGAAAACGTACGTCAAGAATATGTATCAAATGCGCACAGCGTAGTTGTTTTTTTTCTCTTCTCTGCTGCTATTCTCCTACTAGCGTTGTGCACATGTATTTGTAATCGTACTACTTGATAACCAGTGATAAGTTTAAATGTTTTTGTATATGTCAGTGTATGAGAGGTATATGGTTGTGCGTTTCGTTAGAACCACTTTTTTTTACTTAAGCACACTCACACGTGCTAAACCATTGATGGACACATTTATTCGCAAGATATTTTTTTTTGTTTCATTCTTTTACTTTATTAAACCAAATTCATTTCATTAAATACTGAAGATATATCTTTTATACTGGTTTTATGTAAATCAAAAAATGGAAAATGTTCCCTTCGTACACTTACAATTGATTTATTGCAATGAAAATTGAAGAAGACGAACGGTTTATTTTGAAAGTAGAGTTTAAATTTAAATTGTTTTTTCAGCACCTAATAAAACAAAGTATACTTAGTTATGTGTGTATTCTCTTGAAAACAAAAACAAAAAATACTATTCAATCAATCTGAATGTAATTCAATAAATATGAAGTTGCCTAAATTACCGACTCGAATGTTGCTCACTTTGACAGTAGACGGCGCTCGTTTTGACAATTCACACAGTCGCTGTGAATTGATATTTGGCAATTAGGAATATCAACAGCAATTGTTTTTAAACGTATTCGGTGGTCGACAAAATGAGATCAAGAAGTCGAAGTAGATCCAGAGGAAAGCACGATTCACGATCTCGTGGCCGTGATGATGATAGCCGAAACAAGAAAAGATATAGTGAAAGTAGCTCCAGTTCAAGTCGTTCGTCATCGTCGTCAAGTCGTTCAAGTGAAGAAAATCGATCGAAACAGCCCGACAGACGGCATCGATCCAAATCGAATGGCGACCGATTCCAAGGATCATCGTCACGCAGAGACCGTTCTTCCTCAAGAGAAAAACGGAATCGTCGACAGAGACGAAGCCGGTCAAATTCCCGATCGAACAGACGACGAAGTAGAAGCCGTAGCATAGAGCGGCAAATGAATCGCCAAAAAAGCCGCAGTAAAAGTCGTGATAGCAAAATGACCGCAGCAAATGTCGAACGTTGGCCAAATGATAAGTTTTCTGAAAATAATCGCAGAAGAGATGCATCATATCGGCGTCGTGACGATACTGTTGGAAGAGGTGACCGAAGAGACGACCGAATGGCCAATGAAAATCGTAGACGCCATGGTCTGGGCTATGATAAATCAACTAAACGGCAATTCGAACAAGATATCATGGATACACGGCGAACAAAACGTGAGGTCATTGGAAGGGAAGGTACAGCGATTGTCTGGGGCCGATCACCATCACCATCCGAAATGTAAGTATTACAGAAAACGAACGGTATTTTTTTATAACTATGAAAATCAACAACAATTCTGATTTTATTCTCTACTTTTTCCCACTAGATATGTATCGTCAGATGATGACGAAAGTCAAAAAGACGACAAAAAATCAAATAAGAAAAAGAAAAAGGATGACAAATCGAAGAAAAAATCGAAGAAAAGTAAGAAATCGAAGAAGACCAAAAAGGTTAAAAGCAAAAAGGACAGCAAAAAGAAGAAGAAAAAGAAGAAGGTGTCTAGCTCGAGTGACAGTAGCGATGATAGTAGCGAATCGGATGTATCTGAGGCTGAAGGAGACGTTTGGGTCGAGAAGAATGCTCATGCGGAATTCAAAAAACCGGATGCCGTCAAATCCAAATCGAAAAAAGGCGAAAAAGATGACGGTGACGATGAATCACAAGTTGGTCCATCTCTTCGAAACACATCTGGACTGTCACACAAAGACTTTGGTCATGCTCTGTTGCCCGGTGAAGGTGCGGCTATGGTGAGTATTTTCATTGATCTCCTCTGCATATCCATCGATCATTCAAATAATGAACAAAAATATTGATGCAAATGTTTCTGCATTTCTTTACAGGCGGCGTTCATTGCTGAAGGCAAACGTATTCCAAGAAGAGGTGAAATCGGTTTAACTTCCGAAGAAATTGCAACATTCGAACAGGTTGGCTATGTGATGAGCGGTAGTCGGCATCGGCGTATGGAAGCCGTTCGTATTCGTAAGGAAAATCAAATCTATTCAGCGGACGAGAAACGAGCATTGGCCATGTTCAGCAAAGACGAGCGGCAAAAGCGTGAAAATAAGATTCTGTCTCAATTTAAAGAAATGATTGCATCGAAACTCAGCCAAGATAAATGATTAAATTATAACCAAAAGTAATTAAAGGGAAATTAACTAGATTAAGGTTTTGTTTTGTATTTAGGAACCCTCACGAAAATAAAAACTTGAATAAAAATAAAATATGATACACCAGAAATACTATTGTCTCATTCAAATGGTTTTATTTGCTACTGCGCATATCGTTCGACGCATTTGCTAAATGTTCTCGCATAAAATTACTGTGTGTTACTCATGACGAACGGGCGGGTGGTACACGCAATCCATGCAACCGCACTGTATATACCTATCGATACAATTTCTATATCGAAAATTACGATTTACGGAGCCGACACCACGAGTTAAAAGGTTCTGGTTTTCAAAGTTTCAGGTTATGTTTTTTATTTACCGAATAGACGTAGCCGTGAAATGTGGTGCGTACTGTAAAATCAGGTCATAATTTCCAATTCAAAAATAAGAGTGAGAATGCCGATCAACAAATAATCGAATAGTTTGAATTAAACATTTGGCGGTTCATTAAATGGTTACAAAATCGATTTCCATCCGAAATTCCAATTGAAAATCGTTCATTTAATTTGGTTTTTCTCAAACTATTAATGCTATCATACTTCGGTAGGTATTATGTATAGATTGTATGGGTTCGAAAAATAGTGTTCGGTTTATTTTTTGTTTCTTCGTTATAATTGTGTTTGTTATGTATTGTAGCACATTAGAAGCGTGTGAGTTTTCCTGGCACACATCACATTTAATTAATTTCATTAGAAAGATGTATTACACGGCGCAGTTTAATGAAAAAACACAATTTACAGTTCGATTTAGAATTGAAGGAAGAAAACACATTTTGAAAGAAACATTTGAATCTGGTGCATAAAATAAATTGTGATCGTTGGCCATTGATTTTGATGTTTCTATCCATAAATAATGCAATTAAACAAATCATTATCTCCAACTGAAAATACATACATTTCCCACGCAAAAATATCATCATTCGCATTTGGTTGAGCGAAGAAAAAAACAAATCGGCTTTCTATTGGAATAACATTTAAAGTAATGTGCTTTTATCCGTGCAAACGGACTATTGATTTGTGAAAATGTTTTTTAATGGTGAAATTGATGTGCCTTATTTAAATGATCATTTGCTGACGATTCGACGAAAATGCTGATTTATTTTGATGATTAAAGTGGCAAGAGTTTGTGAAAAAAAAAACGTGTAAGAAGTCTTGACGATTTCATCAGTTGGTTCCTTCTCACCGCACGTACAATATTACCAAAGTATCGCATCTGCTTGCTGTCCGTCACATTACCGCGTGTATTTCAGATGCCGTGTGCTATACGGTTTCTCTTCTCTATCTCTCTTCCTTTCTTTCTCGTTCTATGCTTCCAAATGTGCATGCACGTTGCCGTGACTGTGAGTGTGTGTGTGTGCGTAGACCAAAAATGGTTCACATACGAACGGCAATACGCTTTGCATGTGTTGAGGCAGACTTTTCAATTCTTCTCGTCGTTTGTGTTCTATTCACAATTCGTCACTTTGTTATGCCGAACATTCATTTATATGAATGGGATTGTTGTTAGAATGCGACCAGTAGAGAAATGTAACCAGTAGAAAAAAAAAACATACAGCTCAAATAATCGCTCCGCGTAGTTTTGGTTGAACAGTACAATAGAGAAAAGCCACTAATAAACAATACCATCACGCAAACCAATTTTTCAACCAAATTCAGCGGTGAATATGTAATTAAAGTGATCAATTCGTGTTTCTATCGTCAATCCACATTTTTTTAAATTTAGAAGTTTGTTAGACAACTACACAGAGGTAAAACATTGATAAAAATTCTGAAAATTCATGGATCGGCATATGTAGATCATTAATAGTATAGTCATCTTTTGCCGTTGCAAATTGTTCTAGTACAGTTTTTTTTAAATCGAGTGATATTTTGAAGCACATTTTTTTAACCAAGGAATGTGATTAGGGACAGATAGTTTAAAAAAAACATAATGTGACTTAATGTTTGAGCTAATGTTCTTGAAGGAAAATGTGTGCAGTGTGTGGAAAAAAGCGTATTTACAGTAAAAATAGAGTTATTTTCGAGTGTAGACAAAACATAAAACATTCGTTGGAAGAAAAAAACAAAATATGAAAATAATCGAAACAATTCATGCGAAATTATCGGACGCCTGCAATACGCAATGCGTAACGTTGCCAAGTATCGTCAGACTATTTATCCAATCAGTATTAAATTTCAAATGTCTGTCAATAAACCGGTGCTTTTCTCTTATTATCGCTGATATTGATAAACATCATTTTGTTTTGTCTATGAAACGCATTGTTTGGATATAAAAAGTTGGTACATGAAAATCAACCGAATATACCTGTTGCTGAGCTAACAATATATTTCATGCGAATCGGATGATGAAAAATCTTAACATCCATATAGTGTTTTCTTTTTTGCTCGGTTACACTCAAAATAGTCTATGTTGAAATTTGGTATTTTGGTGCGATAAAGATTTGAATGTGTCAGGCCCAAAGACCAAGCTACAGAATATTTATGTGAAAGTGCATGCTTTTAAATGTTTAAAAACACTTTCTTCGGAACATTCTTGAAGAACCATATTTTCACCAAATCTTGCTTCGAATCAATGAAGTATTGAATGGAACATAAAGTTACTTCGACTCTCACCAACATTTCCGTCATATTGTGCTTAATTGGTTTCATTCTTCATTGTTCTTTGATAAATGAAATTACTTTTTTCTGAAAAAAGAGAGTTGATTTAGGTCAAAATCATCGGTAGCAAATGCAAGAACGCATTTTGCATGCACGCAAACAAACACACTCAATTCCAATTAAATGAAGTGTTTCTCTCGTGTGTAAAAGGCGCATTTATTTCGAATTGAATTTTTTAACCTTTGTGAATCGTGAATGGAATGTTCGCATAAATTGTCATTGAAATAAATATCAATTCAGAATTATTCTCCGTTCGTGTTCAGCTTTTTTCTGTGATACTGAATTCTTTATCTGTTTTACGAATTTGCACCAATTGTAATGAGTATTATTGAGCGAACTCATACCGATGTATGCACAAGTAAACTTGGGTTCAGAACGCACGGAATAACTCAACTGTTTGCTTTCTGATTATCGAACTTAATTTTTGGATGTTTCTTTTCAATAACAATATTCCCGTTACGAGTCGTCAAATCATGATCAACCAATATCCAATACTCTGTATCAGATAATCCGCATTCATTAGGTATTATCTACTTCAGCAAACCAAATCGACAAAAAACGGGGCTCTACTTTTTGTTCCACCTGAGACAGGCATATTTAATGCAGTATTGAAATTTGAAACGAAGCCATTGTTTGGTGTTTTATGTGGTGTGCGTGGGTCATTTAAATTGAACCAACCCATCACTAATCAAATGGAACAAAACTTTATTTTGAAAAATATATATATAGAGAGAGAGAGAGAGAAAAACAAAAGCCGTACAACAACTGACAGGTAGTAGACGAGAGATTTGATCTCATCTTGATTCACAAAATTCTTGTATTGTTGCTTCACTTGGAAATTCAACAAATTGAATCAGCCAGTTTTCATTGTTCGTGCATTTATTTTGATGCAAATGAAAAGGGTTATTTCAATTATTGATTCAATACACAAACACACTCGTTCACTCAGTTAGTTCTCAAAATATTCCGCTCATAAAGCAAATGCATACAGTACAGAGCAGAAGAGAAATTTGAAGAAAGCCATGCATACATTGCCATTGATACGCTTTGTGTTCGTCTCTTAAATTACAGTGGCACAACATGAGCATCATTCGCGTGCAAAGACACATGTTTGATGAATAAAACGTGCATGGAATATTACAGTGCAAAGAGTTAGCGAATAAACAGAGAACGACAATATCAAATTGATCTACTGTTTTAATGAAATCTAATTGATTGATCATGAACCCTTCCACATTTTTCGTACATTCATCATCTTGGCTTGTTTTCCTTCGTACTTGTAATTAAAACATATTTTTATTTCCCGTTTTTGTCGAGCGGTTTTCATTTGCACAAATATCCTAAACACAAACGATGTCATCATTTTGCCAAAAATTACTTGTATCAAGGCAGCAATTAGTTGAAAACTGTTATAACGATAATTATAAATACTATTATGGATATAAAATAAGAGCCTTAATACAGGTGTTTTATCATGAATTGTGTAACTAACCCTTTTCCTCTCTATTTCACAGATATACAGACAACAGTGGATAGGATATTAAAAAAAAGCAAATATGCCGACAGCAAATAATTTACAATCACCGACTGAGGCACCATTGGTGAGTCCATCGAGTGAGGTGGTGCCAGCCACAGATTTAGATAGTGCGGACAATGGAAAAGTTAAAATGAAGAAGCAATTAGGATTAGTTGAAGGCACAGCAATCATTTTGGGCATCATTTTTGGATCAGGTGAGGCAAATTTGTCCCAAAAAGAATTAAATGTTCTGGTATCTGGGCTTAATTTAAATGATTCTTTCATTTAACATTTGATAGGAATTTTTGTGTCACCAAAGGGTGTTATCAAGGAAGTAAATGCGGTCGGAACATCGCTGATTATTTGGGTGATCTGCGGTTTTCTGTCGATGATCGGCGCACTTTGTTATGCTGAATTGGGAACAGCACTTCCAATTTCAGGCGGTGATTATGCATATATAAACGAGGCATACGGCGGATTTCCCGCTTTTCTCTATTTATGGGATGCTTTATTCATTTTTGTGTGAGTTACCCAATTCACGACTTCTAGCATAACATTGATGCTAGATTCGTTATTGAGCAATATTTTCAATCATTTCAGACCGACGACGAACGCTATCATGGGATTAACCTTTTCAAACTATGTACTCCAGCCATTCTTTGAAGATTGTGATGTTCCAGTGGAAGCAGCACAACTTTTAGCTGCCGCAACTATTTGTGAGTTTCGACTTTGAAATTGAAACTATTCGAATATTACATTTCCGTTACATCATGCGACAATTGAAATTATTTCAACGGATTTCAGGTTTCCTCACATTCATCAATTGCTATGATGTAAAGTTCACAACAAAGCTTCAGAATGTCTTTATGTTCACCAAAATTGCGGCACTCGTTATTGTCATCATTGTTGGGGTAATCTACATGTCAATGGGTAAGACCTTGAATAATTGTACATTTTTTAACTCAATTTTGAATTAGACGAATTTCAAATGTGCGCCTTGAAAATAAATTTCTTTTTTTTTTTTTTTTCTCCATTAATTCAATCCAATTTCATTTTAATCAATAGGAAACATGCAAAATTTCGATAAGCCGTTTGCAAATACAGAAACCGATCCGGGAAAACTATCGATTGCATTTTATTCGGGAATTTTCTCGTATGCCGGATGGTGAGTTCATTTTTTCAAATAATTATTATTGAATAGTTTTTTGGTTTTAGTGGACAAAATTAAAACGGTTTTCCATTTTTAAGGAATTACTTGAACTTTATGACGGAAGAATTGAGAGAACCGTACAAAAATCTACCTCGTGCTATTTACATATCATTGCCATTGGTGACGGCAATCTATGTTCTGGCAAATATGGCATATTTGGCAGTTTTATCAAGAAACGAAATGCTTGCCTCGAACGCTATCGCCGTGACATTTGGAAATAAATTGTTGACATATGGTGCCTGGGTGATTCCACTGATGGTGGCCATTTCAGCGTTTGGTGGCCTTTGCGTGCACATTATGGCATCATCTCGAATGTGCTTTGTCGGTGCTCGAAACGGTCATATGCCGTCTTTGCTGTCACACATCAATGTTAAAACATTCACACCAGTGCCATCGCTTGTTTTTCTGGTGAGAAATCTTCGAAATTATTTTTTTCCAATTCCTTGTTCATATTTCTCTAATCGATTTAAATTTAAATTGCAGTGTATTTTATCACTGTTCATGCTGATAATTAGCGATGTCCATGTACTGATAACGTACAGTATGATTGTGGAATCATTCTTCATTATGCTTTCAGTGTCGTCGGTGTTGTATTTCCGATATAAGCGACCGAACATGAATCGACCAATCAAAGTATGTCTTGATGCAGGATGACCAAACATTTAAAAAAAAAACGATTTTAACATTTTTTTTCTCTTCAATTTTTCAGTTGCCACTCATCATACCAATCGCATTCACTATAATCAGTGCATTTTTAATGGTCGTTCCATGCTATGTGAGTTAATTAGCATTGATTTTTAACAAATAGCAATTTACTGATATGCTCTTTTGTTGTTGTTGTCGTTATTGTACAGGTTGCTCCGTACGAAGTTTCCATGGGCATTTTGATTACCGTTGCTGGCATCCCAGTCTATTATTTTGGCGTTGTTTGGAAGAACAAACCGAAATTCGTTCAAGATGCCATCGGTAAGTCAACAACAAAACTCTCTCAACAATTCGACGGGATTTTAATGCGTTTGTTTTTCGTTTTTTTTTAGACAATGTGACGATTTTCTGTCAAAAATTCTTGCTATCTGCCAAAGAAGAATGTGATTAACCAGATTTGAATGTTTTATGACAAGAGCAATTAACACAGTCGCCGAAACTGATACTCATTTGTATTGGATATTGAAATCGATCACTGCATCAAAAGACAATAGTAATGATAGTACACGCTTCGATTTTGAATCTCTGTGTCGAATCATATTGGAATAGTTCGAGTCTAAAAATATTTTTTTATCTTCTGAAATTATGTTTAATTAAATCAGCAAGCAAACAATTGTTCATATTTCTCACAAATTTCTCAATCATTTGTTTCAATGTATGTGACATGCAACAAGTGCTAAGGTCAGATAATTAGAATTCCCATCATCACGTTTTTTTTTTATCGTAGTTGTTTTCGTTTCATTTATTACTTAATTTGTTTTTTTTTTTTTAAATCTGAGAAATTTAAGTCTACAGTACAAGTAATTGTAAAACAGATGTAAAAATGAACAGATTTAAACTAAAGAGAGATCATCTTAAAATTAAGAATCGATTTATTTAGGAATGAAAGTTGTATATGTATTTTTGAATTCTCTGATCACAATCACAATATATATTTTAACAAAATATTGAATTGCAGCGAATTTCGCAATGGAGTGTGTCAATTATAATTTACGTCTAAAGGACGCTAATAAAGAGAATCGCTGCAAAGCCTATTACCACCAACTTTATTCAAAAGTGATTTTGTTTCTGTTTGTTTTTTTAATGTACAAAAATTCCGATTCTTCACGTTTATTGATTATTCAGCAGTAAAAATCGCCACACTAAATTCAGTTTCAGCTATTTCGCAGGTTCAGCTCAAATACCCACTCCAAATGTCGACTTCAATTCTTAACAACTATTATGTAACTCCAATTTGTACACCATTTGCGATCCAGTATGATGACGTGCAAATACCCAGTAAATCAGAATTATGTTTTGAATCTCCGCTGTATTTTATTCGTAAAAAATAACCCGATCATTTTTCTTTAAATTAGGATCTTCTGAAAATTCAAAATTCCATTCTTTGGATCAGACATGTTGTTCATTAAGGTAGAATATGTAAACGTATACATGGATTATCCAGCCTTACGTATCGAAGTTCTAATCACTCACAACTATGATTTTGGTTCGTATACGATTTTCGACCAAACACAAAACTGATTCATAGCTTTCTAAATTGGTTTCTAATTGTGCAACGTGAAATTTAAATTTTGATAGGTTTTTACCATATCTCAATAAATTCTTAATTTCTAATATTGGAAGGGGTTCATCAATAAAATCGTCGTCATAGCAAAGCATCTCGATTGACTCTAATGCAGTTTGCGTCTTTATAATTTCACCCCATTGAAGCAATTTTTTTGAGGAAATATTCTGAACTCGACATATTTTAATGTCTTTATGGTTAACAATCGATAAGATGAAGCGATATTCGGATTTTTATCACGTAGACGTATTTTGATGTAAGACAAAATTCTACAAGATTTCTTGAATTATCACACATGGCTTTTAATATCAATGGAGTTAATTTGCTGCAATTCAAATTCAAACGTTGCAATTGAGGATTTAACGACAAAAAATCGAAAACAATGTCGTCTGTTACATTTGGCGAGCATAAGTAAAACCATTCCAATTGTGGAATTGTTCGCCTGAAACAATGCAATTCCGTATGTAACAAACATTCTATTTTTAATTTTTTCAACGCTGGAAACATAGGGGTATTGCAGCGACCATAAAATATATGTATTGCATCAAGTTTATCAAGCTCTTTCAAGTTTATGCATAGTGTCGAACTTTTGTTCAAGCTCTACCATCTAAATGTACAGTAAAATAATTTACGGGCACGACGTAAGATGGCGTTTTTTCTGGTCAAAAAAGTTGCAATATCCCTTTGGCTGGAAACGGTTTAAAGCTATCGTAATTTCTTAGCATTTCAACAAAGTACTATTTTTTTTCTACACGAAAAATTGTTCAACGCATTTTTGAGCGCTACGGCAGAAAACATCTACTTCAAGTTGAATAATCCAATTCACATCCTGATTTGTGTGTGAATCAAACCTGGTTTTTGTCCCTGTTATTTCATATAGATACTATTTCTTATGCTTGAACTCAGTGGCCCATTTGATGAGTGAATATTTGATATTAATCTTATCGTTATCGCTGCTACCGCATACAAAACGCCGTCACCACACCATCGACCGGTAAAAACGTCATCTTACACTTAAAATAAGTAAAAAGGTGTGAATTTAATGGGCAAGATGAGAGAAGTTACCAGTGCAATGCTGTGATCGAATACAAACATATAAATCGTTTGTATAATAGCACTCGAAAACTGAAAGAGTTCATTTGACTTTGGGTGAAAGAAATAGTAAACGAAATCGTTTAAATGCAGCCGATTGCTTGGAGAACGTACAATTCAATGTGTTTCGTTAAAATAACATTTTATTTGTCATTTGGTGGTGATCTTCTCTTTAAACGATAACGACAACGAAACATTATCAATGTTACAATTGAAAATGCTAATCATTGCGGTAGCCGAAGAAGGACCACACATCATTTTCGTATTGGCTGATGATATGGTATTTTTGTTTTTCATAAAATAAGATAAAATTAAATAATGAAGGACGAAATAATCAACGTCGCGATGATTTTTTTCGTCTGCGTTCCGAATCTGAACTGTCCGAATCAGATGATGAGCTTCGGCTAGATGATGAAGAGCGTTTCTTCTTTTTACTCTTTTTACTTTTCTTTTCTTTCTTTTCTTTTTTCAATTTTTTCTCCTTTTTATATTTCTTCTCTTTCTTCTCCTGGAAATGAAAATTTTCGTAAACATAATTTAAATTAAAATCGGTTAGTACTTCTGAATGCAATGATTGTACCTTTTTCGTAGAGTCTTTTTCTAGTTTGACATCTCTGATTGGCAATCGCATGGGCAATCGTACTCCACCGATAATTTCGTCTTTTGACTCCTCTCGTTTTATTTGACTTGGTGGCAACTGTAACTTCGGTGCACATCCCTCCTCGTGCAATTGTCGTGTTTCATCATCCAGTTTGTCATTATCTTTTGGCGGTTTATAGTCATTCACATGATCCACTCGAAGTGATTTACCCAATATCTGTGAAGATTCATATTTTTTTTTAGTGCCATCGAATGAGACGACTTTAAATTGTTCATCATTTCATGGTAAAAACTCACTTTAACACCATTCAAGTTGTCAACAGCTAATACTGTTGATCGTTGGTCCTCATAGCAAATGAAACAGAAGCCCTTTTGTTTGCCCGTCGCCTTATCTCGTACCAAATTTATGTTGACTATTTCACCGTACTGTGAAAATACACAAATAATATCTCCTTCGGTTAAATCATAAGGCAATCCTCCGACAAAGATCCAAGCGCTATTTTTGTATTGGTCGTGCCATGACGATTTACCGCCTCGCGTCAACTCAAGTTCACTGAGTTTGGTGACATTTTTCATATTTCTGTTGGAAGAAAAACACACAAGAAAATAAATTATCAAAATATCGGTGGAAAATGTGAAAATATATCTCATTAGATTGTTATTTTACTCACGTTAAGGGATTCATTGTGATGAGAATAATGAGCAATTTTCAATTCAGCAATAGATGAATGCGTATGATACGTTTGTTTACAAAATTTTGTTTTGTGAGGTTAGAATTTTTTTTGACAGTTTTAGCTTTCAATGTTCCATGGTCGATCGATAGGGGAATCTGAAACAAACATATATGGCAATACTATCTATTTGTCTCGCTTCATTCACAGTGTTTGCTTCAATTGTGTAGCTCATCACGACGTTAGTCAGGTGACAGTTTTGAAAATTGTAATTGTGATAAAAGAAAAACATACACGATAGTTCGAACTCAATTTGTTTGACACGATAAATTCGCAGAAAATCGAAATAAAATCTCAAAAATGGCATTGCATTCGGCTGTAAAAGGAAAACTTATCTCTGTTATTGGAGATGAAGATACTTGCGTTGGTTTTTTATTGGGAGGTGTTGGTGAAATCAATAAAAATCGTCATCCCAACTTTATGGTTGTCGACAAAAGTAAGGACAAGAGAATCATTTCAAACGAATAGATGTTTTTGGTGCACATGACAAGGTGTGGTCATTAATTGAACTTTTCTCATTTCCCCCGTGTAGATACACCAATTGGCGAGATTGAGGAGTGCTTCAAGCGTTTTATTAAACGTGATGACATCGATATTATTCTGATAAACCAAAGCTATGCTGAATTGATTCGTCATGTGATCGATGCGCATACATCACCATTGCCAGCTGTTTTGGAGATTCCATCAAAGGACCATCCATACGATGCATCTAAAGATTCAATTTTGCGACGTGCCAAGGTTTTTATCTAATACATCACGCGATTCCACTGCAAATAAATAACTAATAACGTTACTTTGTTTTTCCTTGCAGGGTATGTTCAATCCAGAGGATATGGGCGCTCGTTAATTGGGATTGTGAAATATATGTGAAATAATTTACTATCAAAATATCCAGAAATTTTATTCGATTCCCTTTCTGTTGTTATTGTGAAAATATTTGAACATATTTAATGATTTAAAAAAATGTACGAACAATTAAAGAAAAATGAGTAGAATTCCCTGTATTATAATGTCATTTCAAATTCAACAAATGAATAAAAATTAGATTTTTAAACCAACACCTTCATCTCTTCATTCGATTTATGGTCAGAAAAAAAAGTTTTTACATTGCACCGTCATCGAATATCGAATATTTTTGAGGTAACTGAAATCGATTGGGAATAGATAGAACAAAGTGAATTTGGAGGATCCCACAGAACAATGACTATGTCAGCACAAAAAAAATCGTGATTATAGTGATTTTCTCTTCAAATGGATACAAATTGAATTTTCTCCTTCCCCTCGAAAAAAAGAAAACACAATACATTTAACGTTTTATTCAAAAATTGTTTTTACTTTTATAATAAAAATATATTTTGTTGAGAGTCAACTCGAAATATTTGATTTAAAACTTTAAAAAAATCCAGTTCATGCCACTGGTTATTAAAATAAATCTGTCTTTGTTCAATGAGAAAAATGGTATTTTCTTGTGAAATTTGGGTATTCTTTTAAAAAAAAAGTGTGTCATGCAAAATATGTATTCAATCAGATTTGTCTCGATACGTCTGTTAAATTGACCATATTTTTTTCAACATGCTTCAGTTAGGTGATTATCGTTTAATACTTCGTTTTGTCTCATGACTTTTTTGAAAGAAAAAAAAAATTGTTTGTATGAAAAAAGATTAAAAAAATAATGGCTTTGCTCACAAAGCTTGTGTTTAAAAATGTTGATTGTAAAAATGTGTTTTTTTTTCTTGGAAGAGTACGTCTTCTTCCGTAAATGGTTATATTAGTGTCAGTCCAAAGAAGCGTTTCAATGCGACGACCATCTTCATCGTGATTTCTCACTTTAAAGGAAGTAAAGGTACTGAGATAGTTCATTGGCTGGGGCTTGATGCAAAAAGTTGCCAACCAAGAATGCCAATTTGTGAGCGTATTGGCAGACAGCCGGTACTCGGGTTGTTCCAGACCAGTTGTACTGAAATGATAGAACAAAAATAATGAATTCATTATATTCCAATTGGTTTGGATAAAAGGTGTTAACTTACGTAAAGATGGCACATTTTAAAGGTCATCATTTGTAGCTTGTCGGGCGGCAAACCGAACGTGTCATAGATGACATTGTAGTTTGTTGGTGTTGCAGTGCCTTGGTTGACCGCTTGTGATACTAAGAAGAAATCGTACCTGATAAGAAAAGAAAACCCAAATTGTTGTTATATAAATCATTCAACATTTTACTTAAATTCTCGATATTACCGTTCGGGTAAAGTGACGATATCATCAACCACTGTTCCCGCTGGTACATTGTTAGTACCCTGGCCGCTTGTTGCGAAGAACTTTGTATTAATGCGCTTTGATACGATGACAAATGCCAACTTTACTGGTTGTTCACCATAGAATTGCTTCAAATTGTTAAGCAAATTCTGCAGCTCGTGCTGATAAACATAATTGGTTTGACCTTCACCAACTCCATCCCGATAGAATAGGATACGATCGGGAAGCGTTTTATGTATAGCGCGATATTGTCGTAATGCAGCCACAACATTCAAAGACAAATTGTTCGACAGCTCTTCACCATTCTGATGGGCTGAAACCGCACTGAAAAATTTGGTTGATCGGCGCATATCCATGGTTGCGACCACAGCACCAAATGAACGAGATCGATCACGTGTATCATGGCAAACATCGTAGCCAATGAACATGCAATTGCTTAACTTAACATCAACGGCCCATGGCATTCCGCCAATTTTCGAGTTGATTTGAATGGCCACTTTTGTTGCAACCGATCGCATTTTGCGCATATCACGCGAATCCATGACACGTCGAGTGACCACTTGCGATGGAACGGCATGGCGTACACTGCAAACCTTTTTAATGATGCTGTAACGATCAGCTTGGTTGTTGCTAACCATAATTACAATCATCTTCTTGTTCTGATTGCAAATTTGTTCCAACACATTGCTCAACGTAGTAGCCCGATCGTCCGGCACATTGACTCTGTAAGTGACATTCATCCATTTGAAAATATTCCAATATATTCCAACTGTATTGTATGCAATATACTCACATTTGCGGCTCGCCAACTTGGAACGCCATTCCATTCGACACATCACGAAGACATTGAATGAATGCCTGTCCATCTCGTTGTAAACTTTGTGGCACAACTACTGCCCATTGCTTATCAGCCAACCTTTCGGAACTGAACATCGAATTGCGGCCCTGCAACGCATTTGTCCACGACGCTTGGTGATCAGCTCGAACTCTGTCAATCATATCAATATTTCGTTATTTTCACATTTTAAACCAATAAAATTGAAGCAGAACGAACTAAAACTTACTTTGCATTTTGGCCCAATTGAATCTCCTCCGCTGGCAATTGACGAGCTGGCACATCAACTAAATCCCGATCCAAATCCAAGTCCCAGTCACGAAGGCATGCAATACTAGTCGGAGTGCTCTGCAGACGATTATTGAATGCAATCAACTTTTGAATCCTTTGACCTGGCCCGACTCGAGTGTGAATGGCAACGTCTTTCATCAAATTGAAATTTCGACGCATTTCATCAGTGTATCCGGTTGGAGTACACAGCTCTGGAATCAAATTTATTGGGCGAGCTTCTTCTTCGCGACCTCTTGCTCCACGGATATCTCGTTCAGTGGGGGTAGATCGCAGGAGAGGCTGGCCTGGATCTGTGATCTGCAGACCATGTTTCTGTGAATGAATTTTAAGGGTTTCAATCAAATAATAAATTGAAAATGAAGAAATATTTTTTTCTATTTTTCGATCGAGGAGACAGACAGACGAGATACTTACGGTCTTGTAGTAATCGATGTAAGATTTCGGACCGTCGCGTGTGTCAAATGTTGCCGCTGGTGTCACATCAAAGATGACATCGGAAATGCGGTAAGTTTTGTTGTTGTACCGAGTAAGTACGATCATGCCCAACACTTCTTGTTGGAACGCTTGCTGATAATTGTTACGATTGTTGGTGTAGCATCGTCGCAGAACATCCAGCAATGTTTCCGTTCGCATCAATTTATGCTTGATTTCTGCCATCATCAAGAGATTTTTTTCATGTTGGCGAATCGATGTTGTATAGCCTGGCCAGAGTTCAATGTTATGCTGTCTGATAACGATCTAATGAGCAGAAATGAATAAATAACATGGATTATGAAAAAATTATCTCGTCTTAATATTTTCTTCAGAAAAATTGAAAATGTTCATCCACTTTTATCTTGTGATTTACTAAACTTACCCGGGCATCCGCATCGAAATAGTCGCGTGAAACGCGTTGCAAATTGAGCTCTTTGAACGCTTTCTTCATAATAATATTTAACAATTGGATGAACCGCATTTCAAGCGGTGAAATCAAGCCGACTCTCGAAAACTTAATCAAAATTTCGTTTTGATCGCGATCCCGAGTGCTTATCTCGAATCGTTCGCTTTCAAGCTGGCGAACAGTGAAAATACTTGATCCACGATCATATAGAAAATTTCCAATTCGTGGTCTTTGTTGAGCGAGCAAGAGATTTTTGAATGCCGGATTTTCCACCTCTGGCGTGAACTCCACGTGATAGTGGAACACTTGCCACTTGATTTTCGAGTTGAGCGCAAAATAATTCGCCTTCACGTTGAACACACGTCCACTATTTCCTTTCTTCGACGCAACGTGACCTGGTTTTGTTTCAACCAAAGCTAGACTTTGTTCCGATCGATCGCCACGAATCGCACCTCTCGGTGCCCCAACACGGGTCTTTTCAACTAACATTGGAAATGAAATTTGTAATCGGTTTTTAGAACGTATGAGGAAAATGTTTTACCTGATTGAGGCTTTGTTGACGATCCACTCGAATCAGTTTCACCGGATTTCTTGCTTTGACCCCATGCCGACGGTTTTACGGCTAATTCACAAATAAAAATAAAACATGAAATTAAATTGAATTTTTAAAGAATATTTATTGAGATTGTGTCATTCTACATTCCAGTAGAAGATTTTTTTTACTCACCTTGAGTGTTTCCACTTGGTTGTTGTGGCTGTGAGACGGATGGTGGTGGACCACGAGAAGTCGATGCTGGTGGTGCACGAGAAGCTGATGCCGCCGCATCTAAATTTGAAACGGTTCAATTGAGAGTTAAGTAATGTATTTACATTGCAGAAAGGACACAGTGAATAGCACCAAACATGTGTTTTCCGATGGCTGAGCATCTCAGAATTTCGTAAGCTACGAATATATCCTAGCATATCGACGACGCATACTGTATAATACAGTGGCATGTGTTGCTACGTGCAGCCGCAACGACTCAACTGGAATGTGTATGTTGTTGCTGCGTGCAGCCACATCAACTGAACACACTTCGGTCGAGTCGTTGCGGCTGCACGTAGAAACACACGCCACTGTATTATACAGTATGCGTCGTCGATATGCTCGGATATATCTGTAGCTTACGAAATGCTGAGATGTCCAGCCATCGGAAAACACATGTTTGAATAGCACACATTTTCCTATACAGTCTTATGAAAAAGATGAATGAGTTGTTTTATAGAACGCAAACTGAAAAACGCATGTGTCTGTTGAGTTAAATGCAAATGCCTACTTTGTCGTGACGTATGGTAATCTATGGCTTTGGTTGTTTTTCTATTTCTCTTTGACTACAAAATATTGTCGTTTTTTTTTTATTGTTCGTCAAAATTTTATGACTACTTCAAAATTTTCATCTCAAGCAAATCATAGAATATAATGATTTATATTTTGAATACTGCTAAGTAATTTGTTAAGTACAAAAGTGATTAAAAACGAAAGAATTTGTTGTTGAAAAAAAAAATCTGAATTCAAATGAAATGGAACGATAAATGCAGAGCGCTCAACTGATATCAATATTTGTATTAGAATCATAATGAGTTGTGTTGTGTTGGCAGAATTTCTTCAGTTGTTAATTTTGAAGTCCGTAGTCAAAATTTTTGTTAATTTATGAAGTCTATCCAAACAATTTTCATGCCAACGATAAATTCCGAAAAACATGTGCTAAGAAAATGTTGACTTCGGACTTTAAAATTAAAGTCCAAGCACTTGGAATGAGTATAAAATGTGCACACATGAATTTCTAACCTGGATTACGATTTGGCCGTGCTCGTCCACCAAGTGGTGGACCAAATGCATTTGGATCGGCAAAATTCGGTGGCGCTTGATTTTGGTTGCCTTGTGGACGTTGATTTTGCGGTCTTCCATCGCCCCTTCCTTGATTTCCCCAAGCGTTTCCACCTTGATTCTATTTTATATTTACACATTTGTGAGAAAAAAATATCTTTTGAAAAAATTTACAATATTTTGACATTCCAAATAAAAACTGTGATGGCACTTCAATCAAATGGAAACCAATAAAAAAAAGAGTAGTTTACCGCTGGTTTTCCATTTCGGCCTGGATTGCCACCTTTACCACGCGGTTGGCTCATATTCGTGCAATACGACTTTTTATTTCACGAACTAACTGTTCACGTCGATGTTTTTTTTTTATTACGCTGCCGTTTCAAAATGTTCTTTTAGTATGATTTAAAATGTTCGTCACGCTTGATAATACTGAGTCAATTAGGAAAAAAACTAGACGATTTTGTTCGAAAATGGAAATTAGAAATTTGAAGCACTTTTTCAAGTAAAAAAAAAAAAACTATTTACTTTAATTGTCACTAGTGTTAATGGATTTGAAATTTATGATGAAAATAATAATGAGAGCGCGAATTGAATGAACTCCAGTGTTGTTGGTTTCATTGAACAAAGTGTTTTGTGTTATACGATATGACAGATGCTTCTTTCCGACCCAATGCAAACACAGCAAACTGATGTGAATGTATTGTCGGTACACAGAGCTCAGCGAGGGTATGCATTCGTATAGCTCACAATACGTGCATACACATATACACACATACACACATCCACACATACACGCGAACTCACTTTCAATTCTATCGTTTTACATTACATCATGGCCTTTCGTGTCTTGATTTTTCTTCTTCTGATTTTCGTTCGATCGACGTTCCTTGCCAATACATTTGAAACGCGTGTTCGTCGATGCTAAAATGCTACACTGCTGCAGTTCTACTTAATCGACTTTCGTTTGTATACAGATTTAATAGTGCCGACCGATTGAGTTCGCAGCGTTTGCGTTTTGCTTTTTCTGCAAAATCAGACAAATAATAAAGCGTAATTTATAGCATATCGTTTGCGCTGTCAGAGATTTCGGTTTTATTTTCTCCCTTTTCAGCACATTCTACCGAAATTAGTGTGTGCATAACGCGAATCGTTGCACGTTTCAAGTATAAAAAAACTTCGTTATCAGCATCGTTGCAAATGAATGTATACAAATTTTGTATGTAAGATCATCTATAGGAACATTGTTTATGCAGCGAAAAAAATCTGTATTTTCTTCTCGTTTGTTTATTTGAACATTTTTCGCTAGCATCGTTATAGTATTCCAAAATCGTTTAAAGCTGCAAAAAATCGGTCATTCTATTCCTTTTCGTTCTTCTGTTTTTTTTTTCGCTCAAGTCAAACTAAGACATTTTTCGTTGCAATATATCGATGCTGTAAATTTCCATGAAGATCAATTTCCGAATTGAGTCAAAAAAAAAAAAAATTTGGTCGGCAATTCGATATGCATGGGAAAAGTCCTATGATATGGTTGAATACCTTCCATACAAATCTAGCAATAAACCGTAGTATTTTATGACTTACAGACTTCTAGACTCACTCGATTCAGTTATGTGTTGAATAGTTCTGTTAAGTTGTACACTTTTACACAAGATTTTATTACCTCTGATGGAAGCACGAACAAGGACAATTTACCATGCTGAGAATGTAAGCCAGCAATTAGGGAAAATTCCATGGGTTCCAATATGTACGGGAATGGTAATCAGTTTATTTTCCAGGAGAAAATTACAATGAATGAAACTTATTTCTAAGTTATGGGCTAAGTTATGAATTTATTAAAATTCCGAACAAAAAAAACATGATCATTCTGCTCCACCGTTTTATGTTACATCGATAAATTTTGTCGATTGTTTAAATTGCTTGTTTTTCATTCAGTTGCTCAAACAAATAATAAATATCGAACTAAGCGGCGAGACATAAATTTTTGTTTCAATTGGCATTTTTCATTGCGATGCTATGGCTAATGCTAATATAAACAATGGTTTTTTTTCTTCATGAATTTTGATGATGGCAGTGCTAGACTGCGGTATGTTTAGCTTATATATGTTTGCATAACATTTGCTGTGTCCTAATATTAACATTGAAGTGTTTGGGCATGAAAATATGATTCAGTTTTTAAAACGAAATGTGACCATTGGAAATGATGTGTTTGCCGGTGTATGAAGATCGTCCAATAAACATGACACTTTTCAATTGTAAGCACTTTTATGTTCTGCTTATGTTTCATTTAATGTATTTATAATGATAAGAATAGATGAGATTAATGGAATATGTTTTCAACATAAAAGCAATAAATTTAATGACTTTTTCAAAGTCTGCGCCTGATTTTTTTCTGCATCATTCATACATGCATGCATCGATAAATGACGATCAGTTTACTAAATGTTTTGATATTTCAGGACATTTAGAGAGATTATTTTTGTTTTTATCAATATTCAAACTTATTCTAAAAAAAAATATGTAAATAAATGATAGAAAAAAAAATAAGTACTTGAGGCACTACAAGAAGTAAAGGCTGTTTTCCAACTGGTTGTGTGGAACGCGGTGCATGTAGTTTGAAACCAAGAAGCACAACTTGGTGGCGTACTGAAGCACGGCTGGAACTTTGGTGGTACCAGTCCAATTGAAGTACAAGTGGGTTTGCTTGTACGTCCAAAGTTGGAGCCGGTTTGGTGGTAGATTCGATGTATCGTGGATGATGTTGTAATTGGTGGGCGATACAGTGCCTTGAGTCGATGATGCCGATATCAAAAAGAATTCATATCTGCCATGAAAAAAAAACACAAATCGAACAAATGCGGAAAATATCAATATAATTGCAAACGTCAATACAAACAATTCGTATAAGAATTATGTATTTTCTTTAATTTTTGATAATATTATTTTGACTTACCGTTCGGCAAGCGTTATGACGTCGTCCACTACGGTGCCGCAGTCTGGATTGCGATCGCCATTGAATATGCGACTGTTGATCTTCTTCGTGACAATCATGAATGCCATTTCCAGCGGCTGCTCAGCCGAATCGTACATCTTCTTTAGATTCATCTCGAGGTTTTTTACTTCCATATCTATTTTTTGAAACACGAAATGAAAACGTTGTCGTACGATATCAATATGGATGCAACCGATTAAAATGCCAATACAAACAATTTAAATTGCAAATTAACAACAAAATCCAATTCAATTGTTCATGATTATTTTCAAGCATTTGAATAAATTACCTTTAACGTATGGAATGTCACCATCGCCAACACCACCCCGATAGATGATGATTTTCTTCGGCAATGCACCATACTTTTCGCGAAAAGCCACGATTGCCTTGCGAACGCTTAAGCTGAATTCGTTGCTCAACGTTTCAGAGCTAGAGTATGTGCTAACCGTAGCAAAGAAGCTGAAATCGCTTTTGAGGTCCATCGTAGCCACGAGACAACCGTACGACATGTTCTTGTTTTGTGAATCTTTCGATACATCAAAACCGATTGTCATGACACCGGCCAACGGAATCTTTGCACCCCACGGAGCACCACCTTTGAATATCCAAATACAACGAGTTTAAATTTTAGATAATAAATTCATCAATGACCAATAGTAAAATAAAGTCGTTTGCTGAAAAAACTACGAAATGATATCGAATTGATATCACTCTCACTCTTTTTTCATTCGTTTGGTTTCAAGCGAAAAAAAAACTCTTCAAAATGATTTTCAGAAAGAAAAAAATATATGTTTTTAGCTACTTACCGAGTTTAGCGCACATTTGGATGATGATTTTGGTAACAATCGAATCATAGCCTTTTTCTTTAATCAAATTGAACTTGGTGGCCACTTGCGATGGCACGGCATGGTCACCGAAGCATTTTTTCTTGATCGACGAATAGCTAAATAGGGGAAAACTCGTTTATCTAATGTGAAAAATCAGCGTAAAATGGATTGATTGAGCTTACATATCGCCGTTGTTGTTTTTGTTCGATGTTACCACAAAGAACATCATTTGCGGATTGGTACCGGCCAAGCGGTCAACTTCACCAGCCAGGGCACGGTCATTGTTCACCGTTTGGCTGAAATCAGGAAAAAATTATACTGTTTATCAAATAATTTCCAACCGAATTAAAGCAAACTGCACTTACAATCTTGGCTTGCTAATTTCAAAGCCCATGTTTCGTCCCAATTCCATGCCGCGATTAACGAAACGGTTAACATCTCGTTCCATCACGGTCGGGAAAACGATGTACCAACGCTTCAAAACCACTTGCGATTGGAATAGACGCAAGCCACGACCACATTCTCTATCCCATTGACCGTTGACAACACTGTCGATTGAACAATGACAAATGAATACTTTTGAAAACCTTTGAAAAATTTCACTTGCATTAAATAAAACCTACGCGTGTTCTTTGTTATTCTCGAACAAGAGCCTTTCCGGTGCCAATTTATGGCCTTCGACATCCACCAATCTCGGATCTAAATCGAGATTCCATTCGCGCAACACACTGATACTTTTCTCAGTGGTGCGCACGCGATTGTTGTAGGCAAGCAAACGTTCCTTTCGTACACGTGGTACCATTTGCGAGTACGGTTTCATGGCATTTTTCAAACTGAAAATCACACATTTCATATGCTCAATCAATTTTGATCGAAAACTATCTAGCGAAAGTCACAAACTTACCCAATGTCAGATCGTTGACGTTCTGATAAACCAGTGATGCGACACAGCTCAGGAATCAGCCACGTCGGCTTATCCGCGCCACCACGAATGTTCCTTTCTTTTGGTTTTGTAATGAGCAGTGGCTGCTTGTCGTCCCGAATTTGAATTTGATATTTCTTACCAATGGAAAAACGATACGTGTAATAACAGCTATGCAAAGAAAAAACATCGAAAGCATTTACTATCTTACATCTTTGTAATATTCAACGAGGGAGATGGCAGTTCCTTTCTTTTCGAAAGTAGATCTTGGCGATTTTTCGAAATCGACGTCATCAATGCGGTATGTGGTATTATTGTAGGCCGTCAGAATGGTCAAGCCGAGCGCCTTTTGCTTGAAGTTATTCTGAAAGTTGGCGCGATCACTCCGTAGAGTTTCTTCCATCAAATCGTAGACGGTGTCCATGCGCATCACTTTGTGTGCGACATCGCAGTTCAACAGGATGTCTTGTTCATGCTTGCGAATCGATGTCGCAAAACCAGGCCACAATTCAATCTTGAATTGACCTAATGCAATCTATTTGCGAAAGAAATATATAAGTTCAACGTCATCTTTTTTGTCTTTTATATTCGTCTCCTATCTTAACATTTGTCGCATAGCATTTACCTTGGATGCGGCATCGTAGTAATTACGGCCAACCAGCTGTAGTTCGAGTGCTTGTGTTGCACGGCGCAAAATCAAATTCAAAATTTGCAACGATTCTGGTTCGTCCATTTGAACGATTTTGGTAAACTGCAGCGTCAACGTGTACGTTTCACCCGTTCTTGTGGTGGACGAAAGATTGACAATGCCTCTGTCACCGCCCAAATCTTTGGTCACGAATAACTGTGTGCCATCGAATAAGAATCCACCAATATTTTCCTTGTGTTGCATGATTAATGCGTTTCGCAAACGCGACATTACGCATTCCGGCTCGAAATTTACGTGGTACTTGTAAATTTGCCATTTTGGCGTTTTGACCAAACGAAAGTAATTCGCTTGTAATCGAAGCCGATCACCTTCTTTGAAACTTCTCGGACCGTCGTGTGGCCGAGTGACGATAATTTGTTGAAAGCCACGTGCGCGATCATCGCCACCTATTCGAATATCAGTTTCTCATTTTCCATCGGCTCAATCGATTTAAAAAAAAAAATTGATTCTACTTACGTTTTTCATTGGGATTCCGCTTTTTGGATGGCGCACTTGCTCCGTCTTCGTCACGAGGACGCTTACCTGTTGAACGCACAGAAAAGAAATACACTTTTTATTCAAGGTGTACTTAGATCCCTTTCAATTCACAAATCACATCAAAGTAGCCAAACTGATCAAATTCAAACGAATATTCAACCGAAATGCTAAAACTCTATTCATTTTCCTTAAAATTGTATTTGCAAATCAATAGATTATCACAAAGTCACAAAATCACGTATACATGGTAAAAACAGTTAAGCGACGCTATCTGATAGAGATGTAACAAGTGCAAAGTCGATTTGTTATTTTTCCCGTTATTTCTACGAAATGCGAAAATGTCGCATTTGTTTGCAAACTAAAATAAATGAACACATTGTTGTTGGTAAAACAGCGGAAAATTTCTAATTCTCAAGTTCTAATGTTGTGATTGATGAAACAAATTGAAACTGAAGAAAAACGTAGAAAATAGAAAATTGTCCAAGATAAAAAAAAATAATCGTTCAATTTACCCGATCCCGATGGTTGTTCCATTTTGTTCAAATGTTCGAAATGAAATGACTGAGAAAATACACTTTTCAACTGAATTAGGCGCTATAATTTGCAGACTGTGCAAAACTGTTCCGACTGTGTATCAAGTAACCTATTCGTTAATGTTATATTCGTGTGTGTGTATGTGTTGGTGTTGGTTGTGCTGTTTGCACGCAATACGGATACTAACATAGACGCTCGGCGCAGTATTAAGTTATTGCCTGTGCTACTATGCTATTCCTATGTGTTGACTTAACTGACCGTTCACAGCTACACTTTGATTTCAATCTCACCGCCACTTGGTTTTGGCGTGGTTTTCAAAAGAGAGAAAGCAACAGCCAATTACTATTTGAAGTTCGAGGACTAAATAAATTCTTTTTACGATCTTTTTCAAATAGTATGGACTTCTATTAGATTTTCATGCACATTTGGTGAATGGATATTTATTGAAGAACAAAAAAAAAGAAAAGAAATGTTCCTTGAAGAAAGTCGTGTGGCATTCGCTTTCTCGGCTATCGTTTAGCATTTTCTAAACATAATGCTACGTTTACAACAGAGTAAATATAGGAATCAAGCATAGAATTGATAGAAAAATGCACATTGAACTTTTGGTTATGGGCTTTTTATTGAAACTATTTGCCAACATTCATACTTTTCCTACATTTTATTAGAAATATTGCAACAGGTGTAGGATCAATCAATGTATTTGTCTTTGCATTTGTTGATCATAAACAAGATCAATTACCATATGTTTTTGATGCAATGTTTGCAAACAAACAATAGACTCGAAAACAATGGCTTGTAGTACATGACGTCAAACGTACACTCTATAGCAAAAGTGGTGTTTCCGAATAACCGGCAAGAGATGTGAGCGTACAACGAATTTTGTTAGCAATTTTTATGGGCAATTTTCTCAGGACAAATGATGCATGAATATGGTCTGGATTTTGACTGGTGTTGATGACAGACGTTTTTTCATAGCTAATTTCATGACAATCACTTTTAATAAGTATTTCACGTAAAAAAGACATATCTTTTACCACCTTTGCAACGCTTTTTCTAAATTTTTGTACTTTTCTGACTGACATACGAGAACTATATTATTTGTTTTATAAAAAAATGCTTTGTTTTTAGCTTGATTTTTATAAGACTGCTACGGCATAGAAAAAAATGTTTTTCAAATAAATATACCACTTCATAACGTTATGGAACACCTGTCTTGGCCTTAGGTGCTTCACACGATTGGTTTCATCTCATTTAGCGCACGTGAGTTGATATACATTTCTGTTTGATTTAGATGGTCTTGCAAACCAGATGCGGCAATAAAGCATTTTCCGCAACTAACGTGCGTTCGACAATTGCATACGCGCACATAACACTTGTAAGAAATACCAATCGGTGATACTGAATTCCATCTATCAAACTGATGCTCTTCTTTCACATACAACAAAGTTGGATCAACACGGAAACCAGGCATAAATTCATAAGTGACTTCACAATTAGCCACACGGTTAAAAACTCTCGATGTTGCACCGTCACTTAAGATATGATTGGGTGTCTTCAATTTCAATATAATTGACTGTGTCACTCATCAATGTGGCGTTGGCTGTATCAGAATCAGTTTCTTCTAAGACCTAAAAATTTTCTTGGTTTCAATATAAATTGATGCTCATGTTCAAAGCTGCTACACAGACAGCCCAAATTATAATGATATCTGTCATAGTTTTGCGGCTCTGAACTCGGTCAAACATGGCAGAAGAACGAATTAAATGAAACACAATTCGCATGTAATAAAAATGAATGTTTTTATTCCATCTTTAATTTTTCGTTTTCTTTCACTGAATGGTTGCTTAAGATGTCCAGCATGTATCCGTTGATTAAATTAGAATTTATTCAGCATAGATTTGAGCTTGAACCTTTTCCCATGCAGCCATTGGACCGTGTTCTGGTCTGTATTTAACGTTGCAACCATCTGGAGCCAAACGTCCTTGGTCACGGAGTTCTTCGTAACGTGCACGATCGAATTTGGTGAATCCCCATTTCTTTGAAATGAAAATCTGTCGAGAAAAAAAAATAAAACAAAATTGTTGAAATGATTGCGCCACCATGTGTGGAACACATCAGAACAGAAATTATGAATGTTTACCTTTTGGCGTCCTGGGTACTTGAACTTAGCACGACGCAAAGCTTCAACAACTTGAGCCTTGTAACGGTCAGCTGAACGCACTGACATGATTGGTTGACCAATGTGTACACGTGCTACGGTACCTTGTGGCTTACCGAAGGCACCACGCATTCCAGTTTGGAGTCTGTTTTAATCAAAATGAAAGCAAAAAAAAACCAATTCACAATTAAAAAACATTGTTCTAAACACGTGACATTGTTGTGGCTATGCAAAATGCAAGTGATGTATTGGGATAAATTTTGTCAGTCAAAAAATGTCAAAGTTATGTTTGTAATCACAGAATTCATAACCCAGTGCTCGAGGCAAATCATCATTGAAATCCCAATACACAAAAGTGGCAAAGTGAATGCGAGATGTAGAAAATGAAACACATACCTATCAGCTCCGGCACATGACAACATCTTGTTGATCCGAATGACGTGGAATGGATGGACGCGCATACGAATGTGGAATTGATCTTTACCGCAATGCTTGACCAAGTATTTGTTGGCGCAGATACGGCCAGCTTCCAAAGCTTCAGAGCTCAACTGTTCGTATTCATCTGAAACCAAGTGGACGCATAGTGGGAAGTCTTCGACGGTAGCCTTCTTTTTGCCCAAATCGAAAATACGGATTTTTGGATCTGGCACACCACGACAGAAACGAGATTTTGGATACGGCTTATTTTTACAATAGCGGTAACTGAAAACGGAAGAATAATAACAACCATTTAGTACATTTGTTTCACATACCACACTCACTGAATTGATTCAAAATCGAATGTATTACTGATTCAAGAACGGAATTCCCCATGCGTTTTTTTTAAAGATCTATTTTCCACGTGAAACACACAGACTAATTTCGGTAATTGTATTGTCACAGCCATTTTGAGGTTAGAATTTTGGAAAACCATTCTACCTCACCCAATGACGTGTTTTTGATCTACCTTCACTCAAAATATCGTATTTAATATGTAAACTAAATCGATTTTTTTAAATTTTCAGTCGAAATAAAGGTAGTTGCAAAGGAAATTCACAGTTGAATCGGCCGTGGCACATTTATCTTTTTTTGAATCACACACACATGACATTCGATATCACGTCAACACAAAAGGTAATGTAATTACATATACACTCACCATCTAGCTGGACGGCGACCCATTTTCGCCTGTAAAAAATCGAAAAAATATGTTGAAAATTATTCATCTCGCACAAAAATATTAGCTTATTTCAATAGATTAAGTTTCAATAAACAATTTGGTATATATTTCACAAAAATCCACTCTATGGAACTTTGGATGATTGAAAATTAGAAAAAAAATTGTTAAAAACACGAACCTCTGTGTCTTCTTGTTCGGATCTGAAAAGAAAAGACTTAGTTTTGTGTTGTAGGAAGTGTGCACGCTTTCATTGGCACGCCACACAGTTATGATGCGGCAAACGCAGTTACTACAATCTCATGTGTCAATTTCATTGTAAATTCGCTGTTGACAGTTGGCCACATGACAGGGGTGTCGCATTGAGTATTGCGGTAATTTAGGTTATGTTGCTACAATCGAATAAATAGACTTTATCAAATACGTTGGTATGGATTGGTGCAGTGTTTGTTTTGCATAGATTTTTTTTATTGTTCTTTATTTTAATAAATCAATTTCATGAGATGATTCGAATATTGCAACTGTCCCGAAAATTATTCGGCCGCCGTCAACTGTTACACACTTTAAAATCACGGGAATTAGATGAGCCTTCTTACCACAAGAAACCGCTAGATCCACAAATTGTATCACTGGTCAAAAAATATGATTCAGATATATCATACAGTTCACACATAGAATTGAATAAAAAACCGCTAACATATAAACAACGGTCGGAACTATTATTCGAACTTGGCTCCAAAGCATTTATTGAGCGATTAAATAAAGCCAGAGAATCGGAACCGTCCGTTTTAGTGGAGAAACTGATCGAATTCAATGATTTGAAACAAAATAATAATACCGCAAAGACGGTTATAGACGAAGTAGAACCAACCACTCCATTAGTACGGGAAACGGTGATAGCTGAGGATGAAGAGAAAAAAGCACAATTGGCCAGAGCTAAACTGAAAATATTGACTGAGATGGGCTTGCGACGATCAGCGATTGAGCATGAAATTCAATCATTTCCGGATAATTGGATGGAAGATTACGAAACATTCGATGAAAATGACTTGCCTGACACACAGTATGGCACACCAGGTAAATAATCAAATGAATCATTCATTGCTGTTTGTTTTCTTGTTTTCAAATTAAAGTTTTTCTATTTCAATGTCTCTCTCACGATTAGATCCAAAAGTGCCATTTTCAAAAGTACCTTGTCACGGATGCGGTTCGAATTTACAATGTGCCGATCCGAGTATTCCGGGCTATTTACCTAGTGAATTGATGAGCGGGCACGAAAGAGTTGTGCTAAAACGGCTGATTTGCCAACGATGCCATTTCTTGAAGAACTACAACACGGCACTGAAAGTACAGGTCAGCGCTGAGGATTATGTGAATATGATATCACAAATAAAAGATAAGTTCGCGCTTGCAATCCTAATGATCGATTTAATCGATTTTCCATGTTCCATTTGGCCAAATATCATTGATATCATCGGAGAAAAGCGTCCGGTAGTTGTGGTTGGCAATAAAGTTGATCTTTTGCCACAAGATTCCAAAGACTATCTCAACCATGTGACGAAACGTCTGGAAGATGCTCTTGTCGAATTCGGGTTGTCGAGGGCAAACATCAAACACACATGCTTGATATCGGCCAAAACCAATTATGGAATTGAAGATTTGATCACTTGCCTCCACACAATCTGGCCGAACAAAGGCGATGTGTATTTGCTTGGAAATGCAAATGTGGGAAAGAGTACGTTATTCAATGCTCTATTGGGCTCCGACTATTGTAAAATCCGTGCACGAAACTTAATACGGCGTGCAACATCTAGCTTATGGCCAGGAACAACACTCCGTATGCTGAAATTTCCAATTGCTCGACCATCAAACGCGTTGTTGTATGAGCGAAGAAAACGTTTAATGAACGAAGAAAGGAAGCAACAAGCTTTAGAAAGTCTAAGACGCAGTCAAATTTTCACGGGTCGAACACCAGAGAAAACACTAATGGAACATATTGGTGAGTTTAACAACAGAAAATCCAAAGATTAGGAAACATAAATGAACCATGTTTTATTTTTCGGATAGGTTTAACCTACGAATTATTACCAGATGCAAAAGAAGAGAATGAAATACAATTGACCGATGCACCGCCGACAGAGAAATATTTCAATGAGCATCATAAGTCCTTCAAATATGGCAAGTGGCTGTACGATACACCGGGCGTTATACAACACGAGCAAATAATAAATTTTCTGACAAGTGAAGAGCTGCTGTACACAATCCCAAAACTGACTCTTTGGCCAAGAGTATTTTATATGCTGCCTGGTCAATCATTGTTTCTCTCTGGTCTTGGCCGGGTCGATTATATCGGTGGCGCCAGTGAAATGCGTTTGGCTGTGTATGCATCTGAGAAGCTATCGATAATGATTGTGAACACAGCGAAGGCGGATGAAATTTATCGAGCATGTCTTGGCACTGAGCTGCTGAATGTTCCACGGGGCGAGGAGAAACGTATACAGGAATTTCCACCACTCGTTCGATACGAGGAGAAAATCTCGGTTGGAAACTATTATGACACACGAAACAAATCTGTTTGTGGTAGGTATTTTGACACTAACGGCAAATTTGCACTCAATTCAGCATATTAATAATGGTTTACCTTTTCACGCAGATATCATCTTGTCATCCGCTGGCTGGGTGTCGGTGAATTTACCACCAACTGAAACTGCCCATTTCTATGCATGGACACCAGAGCAACGTGGAATTTTTGTTCGAAAACCGGCTTTACTTCCGCATGCCGCCCATTTGTATCGTGGTAAACGTCAGAAGTTCACACCAGCCTATGCACAAAAAGAACCAACCGAAGTTAAACATTGAACGCATGTTCATACAAATAGTTTTGAATAAATAAAAAAACACACACCGTATATGTAATTCAATCGTATTTCAATTTTATTGTTATTCGCTTTGCATTAAATTAGAATAAATGTTAAACATTATGTTCATTTATCAAAGGTTTGTATGTTTATCTGAGGTTTGTATGTGTGGGTGTCTGTGTGGATTTAGATTCATTTCTTGGCTCCGATTGAGTTGAAGAGTTTATCTTTCGCGACTTGCGCCATGAGTCCGTGAATCAATTCGATGGAGGCGCGGCTACAGTCTCGTGTGGCTTTTGTAAGTTTGTCTTCGGTGCGTTTTTCGTTTGGATCACCACCTGCACAAAAAAATGAAAATAGAATCAGAGTTTTATTTCGAGAAAACTCTAGAATATAGATACTATTAGTCTAACACTTGGCATACTTACTTGAAACAACAAATGGACCTCGTCCCAAACTGGCTTCGCTTTGTTCCAGTTTTTCGGATAAATCGAAAATTTGGCCCGTTGTATATTCGGTGTTGCTCAGTAAACCCGAACTACCAAGCGTATTAACCCAGTACTTATTCCACAGTGAATCCAACAGCTTTCGATCTAAGGCCGATTTGAAGTAGCTCACTTCCAACGCATAATATTGTTTGCAATGAACACCAAAATCTTCGATTTTATTCAGTGGGATCGTTTGATATTCGGATGGTTCTTCATTTGGTGGCTTGTAACCCTTTGGATATGTTCGGAATGCACCCAAACACACCTTACCGGCCGATACCGTTCGCACCGGATCAACAACAATGGCCACAAATGGCTCTTGGAAATTCTGATTGAGCATTTGTGTTGACACATCAATGCCAGACAACCAGCAACCGTAGCCGGGATGACTGTGATACCAACCGATTGCATTTTCTAAACGACCAACTTCCGATGCCGACTCAATGTAAGCCGTCATGTATTCATATGCTTGTGATTGTGCATTGACACGCGTTTCTGTTCCTTCAACTGGCAGTGCAAACGCATCCATAACAATCTAAAACAGCGAAAATGCCGATTTCAATGACGAATGCTGTTGATACAACAAAAAAAAGTATATGCAATCAAAATTACCATGGTATTTTCAACGACTTTTCCTAACAAAAGACCCATAATTTCGAGTGAACCACCTGACCGGGCATGCATCACCATTTTCAGCAATGCCAATGCGGAGATTTGAATATCTTTGAAATAATGCGGATCTTTTTCCCATGGACCTGAAAAAAATCATTTTTTTTTTTAAATAGATAATGTTTCCCATAAAATTATCAATTGAAATAATCTCTCGATTATTTCATCTTTTTTTTTTCGTTGCTCAAACTTTTGACAACTTACGGGCAGCCAAAAACTGTTGCTGTTCTTGTGAATCATATCGGAATATTTCATCACTGGCTGGAATTGTTTCGATTTCATTTTCGATTTCCCAGGTTTTCCGAGCAGTTTCAGCGTCTGATGATGTTCCGGCCATGCTGTCTATCGGTCGTTTCTTTGTACAGATTTTAATTTCGGTGATCGAAATGAAACAAAAACGTATGATCGAAACAGCAGCAAAAATGTCTATGATTTGATTCGGTATTTTTGGTTGTTGTTTAGTTGCGAAAAGTGACAAGCAAAATTTATATCTGCTGCATAGTTCACAAAACTGACGCACAATGTGTTTTTGGCGCTGAATAGACCGTTGTAAGTTCCAGGGTCGTATATATTTATTGTTTCGCGCGATACAAATGCAAACAGCATCAAATGTTATCAACGTGAACAATATTTCGAAACAAAAAGAAAATTGTCTTTTTCAAAATTTAAAAAGAAATTCAGTTTGTTGTTTCTTATAATTGTGGAAATGATATAATTTGAATTTAAACAGTGATAACAATTGAATTGTTGTGGATACATATACATGCACCGCCATTTTTACCTTGACGTTTCAGGCACAGTAATAAAAAAGTTCGTCATTGTCCATTTGAAAGAACTAATAAACAAAAACGACTGCAACGAGTCTTGGTGCTGTTAGTTAATTTTATTTTTATTTTTATTGCATTTTGTGTTAGATTTAATGGAAATTAGTTTACGGTCTCCACATGCAAAGGTAAGAACAGTGAATAATTAATTGTATGCAACTTTAAACTAAAATCTTCATAGAACTCTACGAATTTACCTTCCATTGTATTGAGAAAAAAAAGTTTCTTTGTTGATGTATTAGTCATCATGTTATAACATGTTCACAGTTCGGACCCGCAAAATAACTCGATGGTCTGAGTTGGTTAAAATGAAAAATGTCGTCGATTAATGTATCTTGTGTGATTGCAATGTGATCGTAGGATTTCAATTCATCGCTGAGTTCACTGATCAGAACAAAGTTCACACATTGAAATTTTTTTTTTTTTTTCTAAAATAAGTCACATTAATTTAACACATAAATTTCACACCTTCATTTGCCTTTGTTTATTACATTAGCAACAATGGAGCAAGAGCATCGGACAAAAATCTTAAGTAATATCGACAAATTAGTAAAATTTACCAAGTATGACGTTCTTGTGAGGCTCTGTCTGGAACAACAGCTCTTGTACAGAGTAATGGTAGATAAAATTCAGGTGAGTTTCGTTCACTTTTCCTTGGTTTTTTTAAGCTGAGAAAAAGGATTGTGCAAACGATTTCGTCTCTCTATCTCACTTAAGATATCGAAGTCTTTCAATAAAAAGTAAACCAAATCATTTGATTTTAGTTGGCATCAACCGAAGAGGCACGTCACCGAAAACTGTTTGAAAAGATAACTCGCCGTGGGCCAAAGGCATATGAACTGTTAATAAGTATACTCGAGCAGCATTTTCCCGATGCACATGAAATCCTAACACACGTATCATATCGTAACCGAACGATAAATGATAACGAGCCCAGCATACGTGATCTACTCAATCGGACTGTAATCACAAATCCAGCCACAAATAATGTGGCAACTGTAAACGTTAACCATAATCATAACAATAATAACAACACAAACAACAACAACAACAATAACAATGATAATCAGTACATTGCGGTGCCATCCACATCAAGATCATTATCGCCGAGAATTCAAGAAGCTGTCAATCAATTACGAAATGCCAGTTTAGCTAATAGTCGTCCGTTACCAAACCGAAGACCACAAATTGTAGAATTTAAGGAACAAATCAACCCAGAATTAAAGATTCAAGTGGAGTATTCAACGAAATTCCATGGCGAAAGCACATCAAAAGTCAGCGCCTGTAAGTTTGACCAATCACATTAATTGGACCATTCGACCATTAGAACAACAAATGATTTTTATTTCTCTCTTGCTTTTCTGTTTTGTCGCAGATCCAATGAATTCGGAAAAACGAGGAATACTTATCATTGTAAATAATATACACTTTAGGAACCAATGGCGCAGACGTAATGGTGCTGAAACTGATCGTGATAATCTCGTGCATGTCTTTCGCCAAATGGGCTTTTTTATATGCGTACAAGAAGACTTAACGAAATATGTAAGTGCCTATTCACCTGACGAGCAGCGTTGTTTGTCTTCTATATTCGTTAATATTTTGTATTTTGCAGGAATTTTTGGACTTTTTGAAAAATATCATCCATTGTAAAGAGATACGCACGTATGACTGTTTTGTATTTGCTGTATTAAGTCATGGTGAACATAACGAAGTAGAATTCGTTGATGGAGGAAGAATTGAAGTTGAAGATATATTGACTAAATTTAATAACTTTAACTGCCAGCTGTTGGTCGGAAAACCAAAGATATTCCTCTTCCCGTTTTGCAGGTAAATATGGCTACTTACGTAACTTCATCTGTTCGTTGAAACAAAAATTCTCATTACTGCAATGCCGCATCAGATTTGTTCACATGCAGCACAGTGTTAAATCCAATGTTCTATTTTAAGAACAATGCAAAATTGAAACAAATCTCATGCAATTGAATATTTGGCTTTGTACATGAATCAGTTGAATGTTATTTATTTAATTGGTTTTTTTTTTTTCAAAATCCTTCATTTTCATACATTTTGATTAATATTTGCGTTTTGTTTGAAAATGGTTTTTACTCAAATCAGAGGTCCATTGTCAGACCATGGAGTGACGCGAAAATCGACTGAACACGAGATCACCGGCAATTTGGCCGAAGGAATAAATGTGCCAACGTTCTATGATATGAAGATTTGCTACTCAACGCTAGCCGGTTTTACTGCCTTCCGTGATCCAGTGGAAGGTTCATGGTATGTTCAAATTCTATGCAAAGTTCTTGCACATCATTCACACGATACACACTTTGACGATTTGCTCAAAATTATTGGCGAACTTATGAATCAAAAACGTAACGAAAACAATGATTTCCAAACTACCAGCAACGAAGACCGTGGCTTTAATAAGAATTTATTTTTCAATCCCGGATACTATAGTTGACAGGAAAAAAATTTAACGAATTAACCATGATTTGCATGGTTTCGATAATTTATTATATGGATTTTTAAGGAATTTACTATATTTTTACATCATACACATCTAAAATTATGTTGTATATTTTGGCAATTGTTCAACAAACAAACGAAAAATAGAAAACAAATAATATTTATCCAAATTGATTCAAAATCAAACCATTCAAAAAGTATAAAATCATTGAATATTTTCTTTTTTACTGAAATTTTTCCACAATTTTCAATAGGACTTCAATATCAGAAACAATATCAGAAACCGAAGTGATACAAACAATAACCGAAAGTGATAGTTCTGGATCAAATACTGAAGGAACCAATATTGCCACCTTTTACGATATGAAGATATGCTATTCGACTGTTTCGGGCTACAATGCCTTCCGTGATCCGGTTGAAGGTTCATGGTACGTTCAAATCTTGTGTAAAGTATTGGCTGAGCACTCACACGATACACATCTCGAGGATTTGCTCAAAATTATCGGCGAACACATGAACATAAAACGTACCGAACGCGATCATTTGCAAACGGTGAGCAACGAAGATCGCGGCTTTAACAAAAATCTTTATTTTAATCCCGGGTTTTACGGCTGAAAATGAAAAAAAAAAAAACACCAATTGAGCAATAATCATTTCAATTCCATTTTGATTTTATTGATGCATTTTTTTTTACTTTTGTATATGGCTCAATCATTTTTTTTATTGTATTATGCATTTAAACAGAAGAAAAACACATATTGTAACTATAATTTATTTGATTTTTTTTATCAGAAGGCCATCCAAAATTGATTTTGTATGCAATTCTTTTACAAACATTTTTTAAAAATAAATCTTTTTTCTCGAATCTTAAAAAAAATATGACAAATAGTTTGTTGATGTTCTTGCAGAAGAACTCTTCCTTTCGTGTTCTTTCTATTTCGTTGGCTTGTTCGAGCTTGTGCCAGTTCATTGGATTTTTGCTTTCGATTGTAGCTGAGTTAGCAGTTTATTTAGGAAAACGCGCATATATGTATGCGCTATATGTTTTTCTCTTGGATTCTCTTCCCATAATTTATTAATTTTATTGTTGCTATTATGAAATCTGATGTATGGTACTTTTTGCGTAAAATGGATATTTGGAATATGAATACGTATAGGGGAATGTAACCGGTTGTGGGACGGGTTTTGTATTTTTGCCACAAATTTTTTTTTATCCTATATTTTTCCAAACCCTATATACCGTTCGAAAGATAACCATCATAGCTAACTTTTCTCCAAACAAAGTTAGTCATTTATATGCACAACAAAAATTTTATGCTCATTTTCCCGACAGTCTTGAAAATGACGAAAAAAAAATTGTACCCGGTTGTGGGACACCTCATTTTTTTTGCTTAAAATGTCCAAGATTGAAGTAAAATCATTAGAAATCATGATTTTATGATTGTTAATTTAATTTTTTAGACTACCATAGGCAAACAATGATCAAATGGTGGTTACATGTCAAATTACGAATGAAAATAAGCCATAATCTTCATTCACATTCAATTCGCAGTGAATGCACATTTAGACACCATTAAAGGCCTTTGCACATTTGAAGTGGACTTTTCTACGGCAAGAAAAGGATTTTATTGAATTTTTATTGGTCAATATTCGATGGAATGTTTGTAGCTGAACGAAATATTACTTCTGGTAACTCTGCATAGTTTACTTTTGTAATATCATCGAATAGCTACCCCAATTGATCCGTGTATCGGCTTCAATCCACTGTTCGGTGCATCTCAAAGTCAAGCAAGGTTTCTCTAATTACTTTTTGTCTCAGTCATACGAATCTTTGACTGTTTGGACTGAAGTATCATAACCCTGTACTGGAAAAGCTGTCTTCTGTCCCTTTAACACGATGAGAAATGCAAATGTTGATTTGACAGTCACCAAAAACACCAATAATTCCGACCACACATATTTATTTTAACACAAATGACCATATTTCATCACTGAAATGTCGAATTCATGTTTTCAATGCAAAAAATGGGTGTCCCACAACCGGCTACATGACTGTCCCACAACCGGAATTGTACACCACTTGGATGTGATGCAAAACAAAAAATTTCAATGCCCATATATTGATAAAAAAAAACTTACTCATGATGAAATTTAGTCCTTAAACTACGTATATCACTATTTTACTGATCATTTTTTCATCAAAATTTGTGAAAATATTACTTCTTAAGAGAAGTCTATGAAACTTTTTTTTTACATTTTTCAACACATCGTCTGAAAATAATATAACGAGTGCATATATTCAGCTCAAAGCCGTACCAAAAGTTTGATTACGGATATAAAATAACATTATAATACATCATTTGATGTTAATGCTACAAAAGTGTCAAAATAATCGACTGTCCCACAACCGGAGCCGTCCCACAACCGGTTACATTCCCCTATGTATATTTGGCTCAAACACGGCGAATTAACGTCATTTTCGAATTCCACGAATTCGACGTTGACGTTGAAATTGTTCGGTTATTTTCAAAAGTAGTCACAATATCACCCAATTGTTTAACGAACCAAACGCGCCAATTCCCGTTGACACGATGTCAGTGTATGTGCGCGTGTGTGTGTTCGTGTTTATGTGTTGCTTCATTGTGTCTTGTTGCTGTGCCATGCATTGGTGTGCGTTGAATGCCACAGTTCTAGTTCTCTCTCTGCTATGCCGTTCGCTCTCTTGCGACATAAACCAGTCACAATTGGTGTGTACAAAGGGATATTGCAACTTTTTTGACCAGAAAAAACATCATCTTACGTCGTGCCCGTAAATTATTTTACTGTACATTTAGATGGTAGAGCTTGAACAAAAGTTCGACACTATGCATAAACTTGGAAAGAGCTTGATAAACTTGATGAAATACATATATTTTATGGTCGTTGCAATACCCCTATGGGTGCGAGACCCCCTCATATGGGTGTGTATGCGCACAAAATCGTTTGCATGTACATACGAATGAAAATGATGAGTATGGCGGAACAATTGCTCATACACATCAGCATAACAGCACAGCACCATATTGCGCGATACATGAACAAGCGAATCAAGAAAGAAAGAAGAAAAAAACGCGTTCCTGTCGCGGCAATTCGAAACATTACAAATAATCAGTTGCACTTGAATCATCAAGCCATTCGGACTTGTCTTTTAATTCTGCGTTTACTCTCGTCACAATATATCACACACACACCGCAAGATTTTTCCGTTGTACGAAAACGTTTGTAACGCGACACAATTTTTTTCGTTAGAGAAAGAGAGAGAAAATTCAATTTCGATTTGAAAATAACCAATCGAACTTTCTCGTGTTTTGGAAAACCTGGATCCCAGTGTGTTAATTAAAACAACAACGAAAAATACTAATTACTAAGAGTGAACTAGTGTAGAACTGTAGAACCTCTTGTTTGCACAAATTCGTCATCCAAAATATTGGTTTTCAGAGCAAAAACGGTAACTATTGATTTAACAATTAAAACATAAGTAAAACGCAAAATTAGACATAGCGAATAACCTATTAAGTAAGACGGCAGTAAGGCGAGCGAACGAGAGCTAGTAAGAGAGCAAAGAGTCACACACACACACTCTGCTCTTGTATCTTTCCGTCTCTGTTTCTCTCTGGCTCTGTATACATGGCAAATATCGATTTGGGAATTAAAATCGGAATTAACACAGAAAAAAAAGAATACACGCCGTCAATCTAACGAACGGAACGAGAAAAAAATCATATAATATACATTGAACCGTGCATTGAGAGATGAGAATCCGAAATGAAAAAAAAGAAGAGAAGGAAGAAGGCGTATTAGCAAAGATAGTAACTTTTTAAACGAAATAAAAAAAAAACACACAAAAGAACGGAACAAGAAATTCCCTCTTACATGCAGCCGCCGAAAAGATGCAAGCAACAAAAAAACGGCACAAACCCATTTTCATTTCTCAATCATTTTCATTTTGGTTTTTCTTTCCTCATTTATTTTCGGGTTTCGGCCGTTTTTGAGCATTTCGTTCTGTGTGCGCTTCTTCTGCTCAAAATTCGACATTTCTCTGTCTCTTCGCTTTTCTAAGTTCAAATTTGAAGACGAACCGAAATTTTTTTTTGCATTTTTCCGTAATGTCGATTCTGAGTTGACGTTGTTCCTTGTCGTCGTCGATTTTTTTCCTCTGTTCTTTTCTAATTCGTCATCACTCGTTTTGTCTCACTCTCAAATCGGGGGAAAACCGTTCTTTTTTTCCTCTTCACATCGTTACTTCGTTCGCATGGAAATCGTCTAATCAAATGTATTTTCAAAGCAAGAGTGAGAGCCATTCTCGTCAATACATTACATATACATATCGGTAGCGAAAAGAAGAGGAATTGAAGAAAAAAATATCCGCTTTTCATTTGATTTCTCTTCACGGATAGAATCTCGTTCGAATGTTCGACTAGAATTTTATTTATTCTCTCTCTCTTTTTTGTGTGTGTCTTTCATTCAACATCAGCAAAAATGGGTAGAAAAAAAATTCATGGAAAAAATAACAATTTGTACAAAAGAATCGAGCACATATGCGTCGAGCACCCGTTCTCTCTCTCTCTCTCTCTCTCTCCCTTTCTCGATTCGATCATGCTCTCTTTCTCTCTGTCTCTCAAACCAAAAGAGAGATATTTCTCTTCTCATCTCGCTCCATCTCTCTCTCTCTCTCTCTCTCTTGCTCCTTATCGCAAAATGATAAGAAGTAAAGACTAAAAAAAACTGGTTTCACATGTAAATTTCTGCCCTTTGCGTACGATTCGGATATTCTATTTTCAGCTCAGTATTGTGTTGTGCTTATTCATGTTAATTTTCTAGTTTTACACCTTCATTGAAAGTTTTGTCGAGTCGATCATATTGTTGAGTTGTCGCCTTCGCTCTTATACACATGTCACATGCAGAATGACAGAAGACATTCACATCAAATACAGATGTTAATCCGTTTACCATCTTAATAATCATGTAATGCGGCGCACGTTTTTCTCTCGGTCGCTTTTCCCTGCTTCTTTGATAACCGAATCAGAATTTGACGTTATACACACATTTATGTATATATACTTGACTTTGTCACTCAATAATGATATTACTTTATTAAAATCATAAGCAAGCAAAGAAAGAGAAACAAATGAAACGAATATTCTGTTTAAATTGCAAGATGTTTTTTTTTCTTGCTGTTGCTGTTGCTGTTATTTTGTGTGCGGCTGTTGTTCGATGATCATCGACATCAAGTCATAACTAGCGGCGTGCTAACGTGAGCGAAGCCGCATGTATAACGTATTTAAGGAATGACTAAATAAGCACACACACACACACAACACACAAATACAAATGAATGGGCAAGCGGAATAATGAAACGTAATTTGTTTGTAAAATGAAGAGCCCCTGAAAATTTTTTGCAGTAAAAGTGCCCCACAAAAATATTGTCTGAATTGGTTTTCATATATCACTTTTACTGAAAAATTGTTTACGAGGCGATTCAAATTGAACCAAAAAATATTGTATGAAAGAGAGCCTCACGAAAAATATGCAATTTGAATCACCCCGTAAATTTTTTTTTCATTTAAAGTGGTACATGAAAACAAATTCAGACAATTTTTTGTGGGGCACTTTTACTGCAAAATTTTTTCAGGGGCTCTTCATTTTACAAAAAAATCACGTTTCATCATTCCGCTTGCCCATTCAAATATATTTGGACAAACCATATTTCCATAAACGCATGTTTCATCCCGTTTTTCTTACTCGTCAAAGGGTTGATTGTTGGCTGACGGATGTGTGTTCAAAGCATCGATCCAGATATGTTGTATATGTAAAGCTTTTGCTTCCCGTATTTAATGCGCAAAATGGTATGTTTGTCAAATTTTGTGCCTGAATTCCTGTTTACTTCTCGCTCTTTCTTTCTCTTCTCTTATCTTCTCTTCTCTCCTTTTCTCTTCCGTTTCATCGCCATCTGAAATGGTTGGTCGCTCATCGACCTGTAGATTGTCGTCATTGGCCAGGCCAGCTGATTTTCTGATTTTTTTCTTTCTTTGAATGAGTTGAAATTGGTCGGCTTTTTTTGGAACATGCAAATTTTCGATCAACGTAAATATTTCACAATTCATTCATATGTAAACAGAGCCATCAATAAAACTGACCAAACATTCAACGATGCTGACACATCTATATTTATATATTGAATTATTCTCTCTCTTTCTCTTTCTCTAGGTCTTCAATGCCGAACGAAAAAAAAAAAATGAACTCCCGTATCCAACTCGTAAATAATTAATTTGTTATATTTAATGATTATTATTTAGATGGATTTTCATTTTTCAATTTTTCTTTTTACAGGGCTTTCAGTGGCCCAAGCTGGCGCGATGTCATACAATGAAACCATCCCTCAAACCAGCCAATTCGATCCTCTCCAAATCGCCCATCCACATCCCGAGACCGATCACCCTGCAGCGGCCCATCACACTCTCACCTTTGTGGTTTCACCAAAGAGGAATTTACACAAATCGTGCAAGAAGTGGTGCAAAACGTGATGGCTCCATTGCTTAGGAGGATTGCTGCGATTGAAAACCATTTGGGAATTGGCGATAAAAGGTAATTCTATTTTATTTTCTTTTATTCATTCATTTCATTCTTTTTTTCATTCATGTAATTTTTTTCTTTAATTTATTTTTTGTTTCATTCTTCATTTCCGTTTCTTTATTTCACATTTTCATTTCTATCATTTTTTTCTTATCATTTCATTTGGCGAATAATAAACATGTTTTCCTCCCTATTTTTACTGTTTTCTTTTTTCTTTCTTTGTATCTAATCGTTTTTTTTTTTTCATTCCAGAACTCCACGCTGCAAGGGATCTTAAAAATCCTAGCCGTCAGAATCAGTCAAGCAACAAATCACAACGACAGTCACGATCTGAAAATGGCCGCAGCAAAGACGCCACACACAAACGTTCAAAGAGGAATAACCATCGTGATGACAAAGATAAGTCAGCGGTTCACTCGGATTCGATAGCAACAACAGGTACGCGAATCGTTTTATGTGGAACACGAATAATTTTAAATCGATTCAAATCGGCTAATTGTGTTTGCGTTTTCTTCTCTTGTTCTTGTTTTTTCCCCCTATTTGCTCCTTATATTTGTCTCACTTTTGCGATGCGGTGACATCAGCAGGTGATAACAGCACTTCCAGCAAGGCAAACTCGTCCAGTACCGACAATGCGAACGCTTCGACTGAGGATTCGAATGCATCGGCGAGTGCTGGCAACACAACCGCCACTCCATCGGAAGGAGCTGTGAAATTTGTTGAAGCACCATTACCAAAGGTGAGTATCGTATTTCGATTTCTATTTTCGTATGAACCAACCACCCGCTCCCGCGCATAAAGACACATTGCATTTTGTCCAATTATTATCGCAGCACTTTGTTCAATTTTTCATATAACCTTTTCCGTGTCTACATTACCAACGTTCGATTAAAAGAACATGCCCCGTGCATTCCACGCTACTTCCTATCGAAATGTTTTTTCTTCTTCTGTCGTGTGGACAGCGTGAGCAGCCTTTTTATTGTGTCTAAATCGGTTTGTCCATTGAACATTTAATAAAATCGATTATAGTTTGAACTAGTTTGAATCGTTGATGTATTGATTTTCCATAGATGTGTTTTGAACAGTGCAAATCGCAAATAATGCAATGTGAATACGGTTTTCACTTAATTTAAATGAATTTAAATATGTGTAACAAAATGTACTTCGTTTCGTAGTTCATTAGCTCCGTTCAAGCAGTGCGATACAGAAATAACAATAAGTACTTCAAACGTACCAAATTGATAGCAACGGCATACATATGATTTAAATTCAATCCTTCTCATTAGTTCATTTCAATTCATTGAAATCGATTGACATTTTGTTTTTGTGTGCTAAGGTCGATTCTCGAGGCGCATAGGTCACTTTACAGAAGCCAAAAACGCCAAGTGCATAAGAAAGATGTGACATAAAATCGAAACCGAAAAAACTGTAATCGTGCTTGAAAATCGCATGTGAAATTCAGAATCGAGTGTGAAGACATTTTAATTGATTGTGGGTCAAAATTGGTTGACTGCATCGCAAACGCAAAGGTTTGATGCATGATAAGCGATCCGCTTAGCCTCTAGACAAGTTCTCGCTCTAGCGAAAGAGAGCGACGAACAATTCGAAAATAGAAAATCATACACACATCGCTCGAATCGAATGATTGCGCACGCACAGACAAATAAGATCTTCTTCGTTGTCAGCAGCATCGCACATATCATTCGAATAGAATATTATGATATGATGGTTGAATATAAGAAGAGGCGACGACTGACTGAGAATTGTGTGTAAATGATGCAGCATTGGCCGCTTACCTGCATCCCGCGATTCTCTCATGCCAAAAATAAAATCTCACCAAAACTGAAATTTATCCCACCAACACGACCGCAGCCATTCATTCTCGGTGTGTGCTCGAGAAATTTTCTTGCCACACTTTTCAACGATGTCAGTGTATTGCGAATAAACATTTTTCGTTGTCCGCGTATGCATGAATATATTACGATGACATAAGACACATAGCAAATTTAAATTTGTGCAGCCAATCGTCAGGGACCAACGGAAAAAATAGTATACTCGATTATTGTGGGCCCATCTGGATCACCTTTTTCTGTGAGGAGACCCGAACACTTCCTGATAAACCGGTAATTCACACGTTTTCACTCACAATAGATTATTCGGCCCATATCACTGCTACTAACTGGTTATTTGTAGTGCGGTGTGATATTTTACTAACAAATTTGATGGTTTTTTTTCACATTTGTCATTCAAATGTTCATCATCATTAAATATGGGAATTAGGAGACATTTTTTGTCGTCAAAATCGCAGGCATCCTTTGCATTTTTTGTGTTTCTCTCTTTCTCTCTTCTTTCAACTAATTTCCATATGATGCGTTAAAACTAAGTCCTCCTTTTAACAGAAATTTTCGAATCGATCGGCATCAAATAATCATGGAAATAAGGTGAACGTCACGCTGCCATCAAAACTCATTTTGTAGGTCATCTATATAAATTCGTCTGTGATCTGTCACCACTTTTGTACGCATTTTACAAACGTTTTTGTTAATTGGAAGACTTTTTATTCTAATTTTGATAGTGGCACTTTTTCTTTATTTTACACATTGCATACGTATATATGCAATTTTTGTATATTTTGTCTTTTGGTGAAATTGGTCAAACAGGTTCACTTACTGGTTTTATTACTTTACTTCGTTTTCCATAGAAATATCCGAGTCGACGCTATCGCCAACCCAGTACACGTGGTCCATCAACAACTACCCATCCAACTAGCAAACCATTGGCCAATTCGTCCCATCGACCGAGCACTGTTAGCAATACGGCATCAACGCGTTCGAGCAATGCCACCATCAGTTCCAAGCGCACCGAAGGGCCGGTTCGCAGTAGTGGTGGTATACCAAAATCTCGAGTGAATCGCATATCCGGCCATCATCACAGCCAAAATGGCGAATATGCCATCGAATTCCTCGTCGATTACTCGCTAGTCAAAAAAACTGGCTGTCGATAATACTGCTTCTGCTGCTGCTGCTCCAGCACTGTTTATGCCTTACATGGGAACGTACTATTACAATGGTGTGCCTTCATATGCAAATATGGATCCATCGAGCTTAAAAGAAGCTATCAGAAAGCAAATGTAAGAACTTTTTGCATAGAATCTCATGCTTTTTCGGGGAAGGAAATCAACAATTAAATCTCATTATTTTCTTCATTTTCCTTTTTCAGTGATGAAAACCTGCAACGTGATTTCTTCATTCGCCGAAAAATGGACGCTGAGGGTTATTTGCCAATAACATTGGTCGCGTCAATCCATCGCATTCAAGCACTTAGCTCGGAAATCTTTAATACTAACTGGTTGAATTTGTAGTTGGCCAGAAATTCCAGTTGCGCTATAGTCAGTTGTTGAAACGGCCAATGGATCTGAATGCAAAACCAAGTCCGACTGTCTCAGACTATTCGACCCCTGTGTTGGCTCATCTTTGGCGGCCACATTTTGTGGATGTTCAACTAATGGCCGGGATTTATCGGAAATTACATCGAATGTTTCTTTGGTCCGCAATTTCGAATTTGAAGAGCAAAAAAAAAAAAAAGGTCCTCGCTTTCAAAAATCGATTCTATCTAGTGTAAAACCGGTATCCAGACAAAAGTGAGGACTAAAAAAACAAAAAAGGTCCGAAAATGGCAACGGGTCCAAAAAAATCGTTGGGGGTCAAATTTTGCCAGGGGGGGTCAGGATCAATGAGATCAGACTATGTCAGAACCTATGTGCATTTACGTTCTGTGCATTCACGTCGTTCGAAATGGTCCCTTATTGGTGGTTAAAAGCCGAACATTGCTATTGTCAATTGCTCCATCGGCAAACTATCCGCTTTGACCAAAAAAAAGACCGAACTGAGACGATTTTTGCGTGTGTTCTTCTTTCAATCTCTGTGTTATTATGTATGTGTTATGTATCAGGGGCATTGCTTTGATTACACAATTAGATTGAAATGCTACAAACATGAACACATCCATTGATCTTTATTTGATTTGCTATTGAAAAAAGAAATTCTAAAAATAGATATACACAGGAAATATAGACGTGGCGCTTATTAAATGCATCTCGCTAAAAAAAAATGGAGCGAAAATTGAAATATATATCAGCCAATCAAACAATCCTAAATACATTTTACAATTTTATTGTGAGGCTATGCAGAAAACAGAAAAAATTATACACACAATATTCTGAAACGAAAGAAACACACAAAAATCACAGAAAAGAGATTTTGAGTAATATAAAATGTATATGGAGTAGAAAAAAAAATTAGGGTAACGCTCTTATTTTTGTAAGTTTGAAAAAGACCTCGATAATCTAATTTCTATGACTTGCAGTAGTTCACACACATAATGGCAACCAAACTGTCGAATTTTTTTTCGAAAGGTCCAAAACTTATTTCCAAAAAAAATACAATAACAAGCGCATTGAGTGAAAGATAACACATTACTTCAACAAATGAAACAAGAAATTGAATCAAATAAACATGAAACAGTAAATACGAATCCATTACATAATTGGTATTAAGTTTAAAATGTTCGAATCCTTGGTGATTTTTTTTCTACCCAATATGTTCACCGAAATATTACCAAAAATTATACAAATATTAGACACAGAAAAAAACATTATCTTTACTGTAGATTTAGTTGATGGTAGAATTTCTCTTTCCCGTAGTTGAATAAGCTTAAATAGTTATAAATGTATGAATATGCATTTCTTAAGGTCAAATATAAAGTGAATACAGATAAAAAAGTATTAAACTCCACAAATAAATGATGATTCTATTGGTCATACAAAAAATGTTATTTAATTAAAATATCTTAATTCATCTTTCTTAAGCAATTAATCATTTTACTAGGTATTTTATCTTTCTGATTTATGTAATGGCGATCAAAAGAATATTCTTCGCCATTAATGAGAATATCGAATTGTTGTTTGGAATCATTTAAAATTTGCTTTTGATTTTCATCACGTAAATCAGATGATACTATGTGCAATCGTCTAAGCGATGGTAAACTTTTCGTTATTTCAGCAACGCTAATATTTTGTTTTGGATTCAATTCAATAAATAGTTCCTTTAGATTGTTCATATGAGAAAGATGAGTAAAATCAATATGATCAATGCCATTATATTCTATGTGTAAATTGTGTAAGTTGACTAATGGTGAAAGTCTCGATAAATTGGTGAAATTGTTACGACTTATAATCAAAGACTGTAACTTAGTGTTGGGATGAGCCGTGATGTTATTTATTTTATTGCCTCCTGCATTAATCGCACTTACATTCATTGGAATAAAAAGTTGTGTAAACGCACAATTTGCCATATTTATAGAACTTTGAACATATCGGTCTTCATACAAAAAATCAGTGCTATTTAAACTAGGATTATTGTATATATTCAAAAAATACAAATATTTTAACATACGAAATGATTCTGGTTCAATAGTTTTCAGGCTATTATCACTTATGTCTAAATAAAATAAAAATTGATTGTGAAAAAATAGATGGGAATCAATCATTTCAATTCGATTTCGATTCAATACTAACGTCCTTAAATTAATTACGGGTTTGAAAACGTCTTTAGGTAGAGTGGTGATGTGATTTCTAGACAAATCTAATATAAACAAATTAGATAAATCATTGAATGTGTCGTGTGTAATTTCCATAATTTCGTTGTTCGATAGAATCAGAGCTTCCAAACTATGACAGTTAACTAAAAAACGACTGGGCAACAATTTTGTAGAACTGTTTGTAACATACATTTTTGTTAAATACTTGCATTTACAAATATTTATGGCGTCTATCGACGAAAAAGGTTTGTCATGAATGTAAACACTATACGATGTCGATGATGGAATAAAACCGAAAATTGATGTTACCAGCAACAACATCCTGAAATTAATAATGATTTTTGTAATTATTTTGTGTAAAATATATGAGATTGGTTTGAATTTTACCGAAAAATTCAAATTTTAATCAAAAATATTCAACTTACCAGATTTCTGAAAACATTTCGAATGTTTCAAATTGAAAATTCGGCTCGTTGATGAAAATATTTGAAAATCAAACTATCACAATTCTCTGGACTATAACAAAAACAAATTGTCCTTCTTCGACTATTGACAAATAGAAATATCTTTTTATTTAAGTGTTTCACAAATGTTCAAGAATGTGAGCTATCATCCGATCAGTTCGAATGATGTGTAAAGACTAACCAAGACTTACAGACAAACAAAACAAGGTGATGAGTAAAAGAAAATATACGAAAATATAACAATACACATTATTTTTTTAAACCTGAGCCGAAATTCTTTAATCCGAAGGAACGGAATGAACGAAAGAAACGAAGAAAAAAAATCCCACTGTGCAGCAAAGTATCTAAAATTTATCGTTAACAACTTGGCATTGCGTGCTATGTGATATTAAATTTACTTAGTTGAACTTATGTGGCAATGGTGTATGTATGTGTGCGAATGTACTCTGTACTTGCCCATCATCATTTCATCATTCGCAAACATACGGAGTGAAGGACCACGGACGACACACACACTTACACTTTTTTTTTTTGTTCTCGAGAAAAACCTCTTTTGCTTAGAGATATGTCCACACCGAACATAGAAATGCTTGAAATGAAATGTTGTTTTATTTTTAACCGAAATGTGTTAAAAATTGTTTTTTTCGAACAGGATAACGAAAAATCACTTGCTTTTGCATTGTTTATGTCAACTTTGAAAACAATTCATTATGACATACGCATTTAGATACGTGTGTGTATATTTGCTCATATGAACATTTTTGAAAATACAAGTATACAATGGGAAAAAAAGTGGCTGGAATAAACAATAGATTTGAAATATAACACACATGTCTCTCTCTCTCTCTCTTTCTCTCTCTCTCTCTCTCTCTCTCTCTCTCTCTCTCTCTCTCTCTCTATTCAAACCTTTCATTCAAATTTTTCAATTATATTCTGATCAAGAAACATTTGATTTTGCTTTAAAATTTTACTTGAAAATGGTTTGATATTTTCGAGTAATGCGAAAAACGTCAAAATAATAAAAACAAATCATCTGTTGAAAAGTATGATACAGTTTGCGTATCCTACGCAGCACACAGACTGTCATTTTGTTCAAGTTTTTACTATTTCTTTTCGTTTTTCCATTTTGCTACCTGTCATTATTCCTTGCTGATAAAGAAAGAAAGAGAAAAAGCAAATTTCTAAAATAATTCTCAAAAGGTTTGGTATGTGCCCAAATTATCTATTTTTGGCAGTACTGTTTTATGATTATATGCAAATGAAGAAGTTTTAGTTGACTGGCGGAAAGCGGAACTCACAAAATTTGTTTTTAAATTAATATCTACCGTATCATGATTTTCGTAACATAGTATACATTGTTTACTTGTATTTAAAAAATAAATATATGGCGGAGAGAGCACCATATATTTATATGGGAATTAATCAGTTTGAGGTAAAATTCCCCTCTAAATCGGGTAAACCGCTATATTACCATATGTCAAGGTGACAGATTCTCCATTTTATTGCGAAGTGTGGCGGAATTTTATGTCAATGGTGCAACCTCAGTATGTTGGGCTTATATGAAAGAGAATTTAGGGTGTAGGTTGAACGACATTCGTGTAACTGAACTAAGATGCATACAGTTTTACGTTAATCCCCACACCAAATACACTCAGAAAATAATTCCATCTCCATTTTTCGGATCGGAACGTTTGCAAACACCTGCGGAAAATATTGAGAATTTCAGATCTGCTCACCCATTTTTTTAATGTAAACATTAAACAGTAATATGTCGTTGTGAAAATATAAAAAAAATTCGAATTTTTATAGAAATTTAAAGAAAAATTACACTGCGAATTGCAAACTGTGAGTTTATTTACATTAGTTCAATTAATTATTACTTTTGTTCATTTTATAATTTTTGGTCTCTATTCAATAAAATAAATGTTTACTATCTGTCTATAGACATACGTATGTCGCTCAATGAAAACTTCAAACAAAACAAACAAACACAAATTGTATCTAAATGATGCGTACGTACATTGAACACGCATTCAATATTAACATTGTTTTAAAAAATTTGATGGAAATGCCAACCAAAATATTATTTATTCTTATTTAGCGATGCGTATTAATTGAAAGAAAAAGGATTAAATTTATAAAATCAAATAATTATTCTTCTTTTTTTTTATCACACTCTAGTCCAAGATAAGATAGCTCTTATGCATTCCTGATCTCATTTTTAAATAAATAACATTAATTGCTGTGTTTTAGGCAGTACTTTTCATCACTTACATGACATATTGAAGTTTTATTTCTACAATGGTCTAGATATTTCTCTTCCAGTTTTGCAGGTAAATATGCATTATATTAACGTAAATCTATCTGTTCGTTGATCATATGCAATTGCATATTTGGCTTTGTACATTAATCAGATGGATGCTATTTATTCAATTGAGTTTTCGAAATCCAATTGTGATTGATGCATTTTTTTTTACTTTTGTATATGGCTCAATCATTTTTTTTTATTGTATTATGCATTCAAACAAAAGAAAAATTGTAACTAATATAATTTATTTGATTATCAGAAGGTCATCCGAAATTGATTTTGTATTCAATACTTTTAGAAATATTTTTTTTAAATTAATCTTTTTTCTCAAATCTTAAAAAAAAAATATGACAAATAGTTTGTTGATGATGTTGAAACTGAAGGAAATGCCCTTGCGATTTTAACAGCTTTTAAAAACATCCAAACTAAAAAAATGCATTCAATCCGTAGGACAGCGTTTACTCGATAGAAAATAAAAAACGATGGACGAAAACTCATTACTTTCTTCCGATGTTCATTCGGTTTATATCGCTCAAAGTTGGGACACATAGAGCACATTGGCTATTGGCTAACGCACACGAACCAACAGCCATTCATTTCAATATTGGCAGCCGCTAGTTATCATATTGCAGTACGAAATAATAAAGTGCAAACATAATAAAATGGAGATAGAGAAAAATCGAAAAAAAAAACGAGCTACGCTACGAACGAACAGCAAAGATCAAATCAACAAAAACAAACTTCGAATTTAAACACAAGAATGGGAAATGTCTTCCATTACTTTTAGTCGCCAGTCAGGCCGACTACAATTATTGCAATGGCTGTTATCCCTGTCCATGTACGCGAACGCGCGCGCGTGTCGATGTGTATGAGTCAAATTGTCACAACATCATAAAAGACAAAAACGCATCCAATAAACTTTTTAGAATATGTTTAGCTGTTATTGATATTAAATATGTATAATATAGATTTTCAATCTAGAAGCCGGATGAGTGACTGGAAAGAAACGCATTTGGCCTAATGTGTGTCATTCAATGGTAGTTCACTGTTTTTTCCAATATATTTGTCTGTCTTTTTGTCTTATTGCTTCTCTCTTTCATTCGTTCGCTCGCTCACTCGCCTCGAGGGAAGAAAGAGTTGAGAACGTCTTCCCCGTTTCAAAAGGATTCAATCCAATTGCTTGCATTTGCATCATTTCTGTTCGAATCATACTTTATTTTACGTATTTCTTACATCGCTGATATTATGGCCGATTAATGCGATGCAACTTTTGATATTCGCTTTGAACATCAGATAAAATTGAACGTTAAATTTAAATGCAAACCGTTTCCTTTATGTTTATACTTATGATAATTTGTTTGCTTGTGCACCAGAGCACGATCAAACGATACAATAATGTATCGGCACGCATTGCAATAACGTTCAAACATATTTTAGCATTAATTGGCTCAAACTCTTTTACGTACTTCCTCTGCGAATCATTCCATCCACATATAAAATGTGCGTCGTACAAATATGCGAGACTTTGAATGTCTTCATTGGCACCGCATAGCCTATTTCTGTTATTGATGATGACGGCGATGGCGACGGAGACGACAACGATGACGACAAAATCGTAGATTTGATTGATCGTAATTGACGGTCGACTACCACGCATTCGATCGACGATTAACGACTAATTTAAGGTGCAGACGATTCACATGATGCGAGGAGTGAGCGAACATGTGTTTATGTGCAATGTGCGGGCAGGGGATAGGCCAAGTGAGTGCAACGTAGAACACAGAACACCGAAAAGGCATTCTCGATATTTAATTGAACTGCAAACAAATCATTAAAGAAGTAAAAATAGCGTTGTTTGTGTAAGAGCATCCATAAATCCGTTGTTTATTTGTTTGGTAAGCAAGCTGTATGTATGCTGTTTGTCAGCTATCGGCAAACAGGCACCAAATGCTTTTTTTCTGTCTAGAATTTAAGCGATTGCTGGAGTCAAAAATCTCCTATTCATTGACAATTTACCACACCACTTAGATGATTTTTTTATTATTATGATTCGACATTTTCTTCTCTCTCTTTCCCATTTATTCGGTTTGTATGTTCGTGTGTGTGTGCTTGTATTTGTGTGGTGGCCGCTCAATTCTTTGCGTTCGGTTTTTCCATTT